GGACCGGCCTGTGCAATAGAGATCGTGCGGCAAGGAAAACAGCTGTCTCCGGCTGATCCCTGGCAGCCGTGCTGGCTTTTGGGGACTGAGGATAGCTAATTGTAAAATAAAATACCTGTTAGGTTGAACAAAGGTGGTTAAAGCTACTTTGTGTCTTCCTCTATGTGGCCCTGGTTCAGCAAAGAATCCAGTTGTTATGCTGGCAACTTGCCATTAGCCCACCGGCCACTCTTAACTTACATGAACTGGAATAATGTCTAGAGGTCTTTATATGACTGAGTTTTTCATTTGTATCTCTTCTCTTTCCATCTAGATGATTGAAACAGAATGCTTTCAAGAGCTCAATATATATGAAACTGATGTCACCTTGTCAACAGACCTAGATACGAGCAAAGATACTCCTAGACCAAAGAGAGGCTTCTTTCACAGACTTTTCAGGAGAGGGGTAAGAGTACTGCCTATGGCTTTTTGTTTTTCTTATACAATACAAATAAATAAATATATAAATATATATATATATATATTACATATTACTTTTTTGCCTTTGCTTTTTAAATTAATTTAAAATGTTTATCAAATTATCATCTATCACTATGCATAAAAAAGGCTTATAATGGAAAAAAATCATCAAAACTGTAGATTGGACTAAATGTCGATGTCTGATATGATCACTGAATGGACAGTGACCCCAAAGAAAAAAATGTTAGGAGACAAACATCAGGATATTTTAAGGGTGTGTAGATTTTGAGATAAGTTGTTGTTCACTGGGAAACCCATGTATAGCTACATCATCTCCCAAACAACAAGTTGACTCCACTTCTAAGACCTAATGTTTAATAAATATATTAAAATATCTTAAAATTGAGCAATCTTTAGGAATTGTACCCCAAAATATTTATCATAAAAGACATGAGAAACATAGTTTGTCTTAATATAGTCTGTTGCATATAGATTTGAACGATATAGGCTGTTTGTTAGTGTGTTCCACATGCAGACCAGCACATACAAATTTGGAGTGAAATTGTTTTGAGAAGGATGAGTTCATCCCAGTAAAAAACCATAGAAATAATGTTGGCTTTCAATAGAGATTTAGTTATTTTAAATTGCTAGGAACAAATCATGAAGCATCTACAATATAGCTGTGCAATATAATTGCATATTAAACATTTTTGTCATCAGTTGGGCATTTGAATGTTGGTGTGAACTGACCTTTTGGTTACAATAAAAAAGACACTTTAAGCAAGGAAAAACAGAGTACCATTTTTAGAAAATATATTTGATCTGTACCTATAAGAAAATTTCCAGTTTGTTTTTAATGTAGGAATGATGTGTTACCCGATTATACGTTATTCAGGAATCTAGTCTTCTTTGGATGCCTATGCATGAATCCCATTTAAGTTAGTGAGAGCTAGATATCTACACTGAGGGAAGACTATACATCTGCATTATTTTGATTTGAAACTGTTTCCACTGAATGTGAACATTCAGCTATTCATATGAAAAATATAAAAGAAGAAATATTTTAATACCTACACTGTCTGAGTATCAGAAAATCCACTGAGGCCTTAAAACATAGAACCAAAATATGTAGGCTAATTTACACAGTAATATGACATTTTGTTACTGATTCATCCAGTACATTTGTCTCTGGCTGATATACAGGAGACTACCTAACAAAATACTGTTTTCAGCTTTTGCAGGCACTGTGCTATCCCATCTGGTGAATGAAAACTAATTTGCAAATGTACCAATAGTTCCTAGGCTAGCATGGTTGCAGTCAAAATGTTGGTCTTTTGACCACAGTTTTACTTTGCATTTTTATTGCTGATTATAATTTTTCTTTTGCCTAAGCTATCCTCAAAAACTGGGCTTTGTATTGATGAAGAATGTTTGCAAATGTTTTATGGGTTGAGGTCCTTCAATTGGCTATGAAATACTGTTTATAAATCTTGTCTTCTATTACTGACTTCACAAGGAAAGAATTAAAATAAAGTTAGACTAAGTGAAAACTGTCTCAGCTTTGGTTTGAGGTGCCTGCTGCTTCCTTTTGATATCCACAAAACTACTTATTTAGCAGAAAAATTATATGGACTCTATTTAAAACAAACAAACAAAAAAACAAATAAGCCACAAAACACCATATAGATATGCTACTTATCTAACTAAATAGTGCTACTTATTTAACTAAATGCAGCCATTTTGTCTTGTCTCTTTCTCAGGTCTGTTTTAAATCTGGTTACATTGATGATGAAGAGGAGTCCTCTAGACTCTAAATCAGAGAATTATAGTCCAAAAATAAAAGGATGAATGAACTCTGAATGTTTTTATCTATGTAAAGTGTATTATAAATTTAAAAAATTATGTATGGGCTTTCAGATATTGTATATTTGTACTTTAAAGTGTTAAGATGTATATTTTCACTAAATCTTTATTGTAAAAAAGCCATGAGTGCCACTTAAGTGTAAGTGTGTGATATATTATGTATTTTAACTGGAATGAATCTGGAAATACTTAAGGGTTTTAAAGTACAGAAACTTATGCTATCTGTGATATGGATGTTACTTGGCTTTGGGGATGATTTTGTTGTTGTTCCTGGCAACTCTACTGAATGGCACTATGTTTCTTATTCCTCAGAATATTATTTAGGTTTGTTCTCAACAGTAGACTTGTTATACTGATTAGTATTAATATTTCTGGTGTTAATAACACTTCATTTCTGTTTGCTGTTAGATTGCACTCTAATGTAGTTCCCAAGTCATTTAAAATGAAACGGCAAGGAAAAGAAGGAATGAGTTCAGTGCACTGTGACCGGTTTCTGTAAAATACTTTTTAGAAGTTTGGATTTAAAGACTATTTGTTTGTCTCAAGTAGTTCTTGTTTTGTATATTGTGTGTCATATGTATTGCCTTGTTTTTGCAACAAACTTAATTTCTGCAAATGTTGATATCAGAAGCAGTAATAGATTTCTGACCTAAGTATGTGAAAATATATATTCCCCCATTTATCAGAAAGATAAATCATTTCTCTGTATCTTGCCTTTCTATTCATATCTTTGTCACAGTGAACATAACAGGAATTCCAGATTTTTTTAGAAGTAGTAATTTATGATTTTGGTCCATAGCTTTCCCCTTCCCAACTTTAGATATAGCTTATCTGAGTAAGGCCTTTGTCTACACTGGAATCAGAACCATGCCAGCTATACAACTTGACTATGTTTTGAATATTTCATGGTTATTGCTAACAGGATTTCCCTAAGCACTGTGGACAGAACTTTTTTTCCTGCAATTGTTAGCCAACTCCATGCTATAGGCTTTCATTTATAGCATGTGCTGGTAAGTCAGAATCACGAAATGGTATGATCTGATCTACCACACAATACCTCCTTGCTTATTGCTATTGTAGATTCTTACATTTTGATGACAGCGTTGACTGTGATCATGACTACTGAGTAAAAATAAAACTAATAATTAAGAATTTTTCTGTATGAATTCTTAAACACATCAAAAAAGAATAATTCCATAAGAAACAAGCCCCACTGATATTCTTTCATAAAGGTGGAATTGGTACTGCTGCCTGTAGATATGATTGTTCAAGACTTCCCATTCTAAGACACAGTATTTTTGTTGCTTATAACTTCGCCAACTTTTAACCTTCTTGGTTGAACCTATCCAACTCAGATGTCTGCCTGACTCTTTCTATCTACCTACTAAAATTGTTCAGATGTTTCTAAGATCACATTAAGATCCAAACAACACATTTTGCCCATGTTATAAATATTCTTACAACTGTTTCATTGAGAGGCTGTAGTGTTTCCACACGTTGGATCAGGAACTTGAAATCTGGGCAGCGCAGTTTACCCCAGAGTCAGGAATGTGCCTTTGCCATCCCCAGAAAAACTTACCCACATTTGACCAAGTTATACGCCTTTGAAAAATTGAAGTTTGTGCATGCTCAGAGACTTCCTTGACAGCTAAATTTTCTGAAGATTCCATCTGCGCTGAGCATGCTCCATTCCCTTCACAGCTCCTGTGACAACTGGACTGCATATATGACATTTGCACAGAGCAACTGAGCATGCTTCAACCCAAGGCTCAGAACAGGACTTTTCCTGCAAATGCTGCTCCTGGCTGCTGGGGGTAGTTGTAACCCGTGGGCACATGAACTGAAATCAGGGACACTCTCCTTTGCTCTCAATACTCCCATTGCTGGCACCCAGTTAGTATGAGAAGTAGAAAATGGCCACATTGGAATGCACAGAAGTGGGAAATGGGGGCAAGAAGGAATGTGAGGGGGTTGCAGGAACCAGAGGCTTGGCGAAGCAGAGGACAAAGGGGACAGGAGCCAGGGGACTGGAGTGTGGATAGACTCAGATGGAGAATGAGCATGAGCTGGGATGGTGCACACAGGAGCAGAGGGAGACAGAGAGGCTTGGGGTATAGGAGTAAGGGCATAACCATTGGAGAATTTGGGACCAGATAGAGAACAGTGGTTTTGCTTCTCTGATTTGATTAATATAAATGTTACGTTAAAACTTCTGGTTTTTAGTATAGTGATACAAAGGTATCATTAACAATGGTGGACGTATGGAGTGAGGTATGGACTTAATAGCAGTTTAGAGCAAGTTGGGTAAGCATACCACGTCCCCAGCCTGAGAGGTTTTAAATGATGAAACCACAGGTATCAGCTTTAAATAGAGTAAAGAAAATAGTATATTTTTATTTGCCATGCATGTCAAGCTCTCAAAATCAAATAAGATACTATCTTTTTTATATAGACAATACCTTAATTAGGAAATCAACTACTATAACACCCTTACTCTATCTGATCTAAACAAAGTTATATTTCCATAACACAGGACAGCAGCTAAGGAAATAAGAGTGTTAAAAATGTTGGAGAACTGAAAGATTTGCAGAAAGTACAACAGTGACTTATAACTATCCATAGTAAATAGCAAGTGACATCAACATTCTCAATAATCTGAGTTCTTAGCCATTACTCACCTAAGTTGGGAAAACAAGGCAAGATGCATGCAAGGCTTCCATTGACTTCAGTGGGACCTGTGCTCAGGCACTCCTGCAGAATTTGGACCTTGTGGTGTAACTAAAAAAGTATCTGTATGAGCAAAGTTTCAAAATTAGGGCAATTGTAACCTAAACTGTGCTTCTATTCTCTCAGTTCCACCAATTAAGAAAAAAAAAATTGCAGTTCCTCATTCAGACTGACAGTTAATGACACCAGTTGGCTGGGAGGATGCCCTGCCCACTCTTGGGCCTCCCTCAGAGAGAGAGGCTATGTTTACAAGCAATCTTTCAAAAGAATTGGCTGTCCTGTCCTGTTCTAGTTTTTAACATCTCAATCAGATGAACATTACTGCTACTTCCTACTGCACTCCCACCCACTGATGTGTTCATTCTTAATATGGACCAACACATACCTACTGTAAATTTGCTCAAAAAAGGAAATATTGTTCACATTTGGGCAAACAAGGAAAATTTAGTTTTTAATCATAATTGTTTAAACCTTTGGCACCTGTGGAAATTTTAGGCCATTGGTAAAGAGGCATTCTTTTCAAGCAACAGCATGTTGTTTTTATAAATGGGAGTTTTATCTAAAGTCTAATGTTTTGAGCAAGGGTCTAACTGTCAAGATTCCTGGGTTTTATTCCTAACTATGTCAGAATCTAACCTTTAGCAAATGACTAATCTGTATAAACCTCTCTAAAATGTGCATCCTATCTACTGTAAAGTAGTGTTGAGGTCTAACATTGTAATGCTTGTGAGATCTGTGGATGGAAGATGCTATATCTCATTTTATCTGAAGTGAGAAGTACCATCTTTTTTTCCTTATCCCAAAGGCTGCTGTGTCTTGTCAGATAAATTGTCAAATTTTCATAGCTTTCCAAATGAGCATCTCTTTCATTTACCTAAGCAGTAAATTAAATTTATTTGAGCATTCATTAAATTTCTTTAACTTGTGTGTTGTTGCACTCTTATTGTTTGCAAGGTCCATTTTAAAATATATATTTATAGGGCCAAATTCACTAGTGCATTCTGGCTACTATACGCCATTCAAGCAATACAAAGCAGCTGAAAATCTGGTGTAACTGGCCACTTAAATTGGGTTTGCAGCTGCTTTGCATTGCCAGAGTGGCATACAATGGCACAATCGTACTAATGAATTTCACCTACAGTGAAGGCTGTATTTTTTGCCATGAGGCAGTCATAGGTTTTTAACATTATATCCATGATTTCTGAGGCTTGTGGATAGATGGATGTAACAATGAACAGTTGAATCAATTTTACTAAGAACTTAGAGTCGTCAAATTTAAAACTTCATCTGTAAAGGGAGGTAGAGACAGATGGAAATCCAATACTATCGAGGAACCTGTACAGTGCTGCTGTCCCTCCTGCCTTTGCAGAGACTAGCAAATTGTGCCATAAAGGCAGCATTTAGAGTCTCTTGCCTGCCCATCTTTCCATGCTACTTCTGTGCACTGAGGGCCTGGTCTTGTGCCATTTAAGTCAGTAGAAGTTTTATTGTTGACTTCAGTCGGAACAAGGTTGGGGCTCTAGTGGGCAAGCAAGGGGAAATGGTTCTAAACGGGTTTTACTCTTCTGTCCTGTTTCTATAAACACTTATGCATATGCTAAGCTTCATTACTCTGAATTTCCCCACTGGGACTGCTCAAAGCTGTAAAGTTAAACATAGGCATAAGTGTTGCCAAGATTAGGGCCTAAATCACTTTTCAGTGTGTTTAAATTGACATTTTGTGACAAAAGACATGAATTTGTCTTTTTGCCTCTTATGCAGAGAGCAGTCTGACTTTTGTATCATTTATCATGGCAGAGCACTAGCCTCAGCACTTTATATAAGGAATTAGTAAACTAAAACTGTCACCATTGCAAACATCTAAGATAGTAAAAGTAACTAAGACGACATAAAATATGACAAAATACTAGTGAACAGATATTGCCTAATATAATTCCATTCATGAATTAGAAAGTCACAAACCATAAGTATAAATGTAACCCGTTTACATATGGTACACTGATATCATCTTCCTCTGTTTATCATTAGGTAGTAATATTGATTAATGTTCTCATTGAATTTCTTATTTTAACACTTCTTGGAGGTAAATTTTGAAAAGCACTGAAGGCAGAATACTCATGGTGTGATAAATTACTATTTTTTTCTGTGAACTTTGCCTTGATTCACAGCTCACGCAGTACGTAGAACTTCATGACAAAGGAAGGAAGGAAGGACTGAAGAATTCTGTTTGTTTATATGAACATGTCCCTTTAGCTTTTACTGTGAAGTTGTACAAAAGCCAAAGCAAATTCCAATCTTACACAGTTGTAGATTAGGAGTACTTCCATGTAAAGCTAGTATACAATCTCCAATTCAAAACCCCTGTGTTACCCCCAAGGCTATAATAATGGCAAGCTAAGGATCTAAAATACTGGGCCTGATCGTGCTCTTATATTGTGTAATTGATTTCAGTGGAGTTACACCAGTGTGAGAACACAATCAGTCTCCTTTTGTCTTTGTTTTGTGTTCTCTAGTGTTTGTTCCTGTATGCCCTTAATTTCTTAATGTCCATATGTTAATATACATGTTTAACTTGTATTTTCAAAGCAGTGAAATAATGTGCTAGTAACTCAGAAGTTTTCATTATCCTATTCTGTGACCAACAAAATGGAGTCTTCATGTCTCAGGCTGTTTTTGTTTCTATAAAGAGTTCTTCAGCTTCTTTGTTGTTAGTTGTTGATATAGCACTATATGTCTGTGTTCACAATATCTATACAAAACTCTCCATTTAAAAAGCACTTAAAATTACTGCACCACAGTATATGAAAAAATTGTGGTATTTCAGGCAACATAATGTAGTAGCTATTGGTGAATGCTGCGTATTTTCCTCAAGTTAGTTTTAAGCTTTAGTTATGCAGCCCTATTCCCATATATGAAAGAGAATTGCTTTAGTTGGCTAATTTGAGAAACCAGTTATAGACTTTCCAGAAAATTATACATACTGAAGGTGATTCTTAAAGGGTGCAACTAATTAAACTGTGCCAATTGGTTCCAGTGTGGTATTTGTTGTGACTGCATTATAAATGCTGAATCCAACTTTGCGCAGTGTAAAGAAATTTCTCATTGTGTCACTAATGAAATCAAAAAGTACTGTTCACAAGATTCTAGAAACATGTCAACAGAGACATTAGATCTTTGTTTTAGTTCTGTAACATGAACTTAATATTAAGCGAGCAACTGTATGAAGAGCTGTATTTGTTTCAGTTTCCAGAAAAACTAGAGTAACTTTCTTTTGTTACATACTTGACCAATCAGCACAACAGCTCCTTCTAATACGTTAATAGAAACAGCATTAAACTGAATTCTGGTTCTGTCTGACTTGAATGATCTGGATGCTTTCTGATGGTAATGTTATCTCTTATGAATGTCTGCACAATGTCCATATTTATTGTATTGTCCACATGGAGTAACTTACTAAGTTTTCAGACTAGCAGCCGTGTTAGTCTGTATTCGCAAAAAGAAAAGGAGTCCTTAGTGGCACCTTAGAGACTGACCAATTTATTTGAGCATAAGCTTTCGTGAGCTACAGCTCACTTCGTTGGATGCATTCGATGAAGTGGGTTTTAGCCCACGAAAGCTTGTGCTCTGATAAATTGGTTAGTCTCTAAGGTGCCACTAGTACTCCTTTTCTTTTTACTAAGTTTTGAACACGTGTAGGTAGCTCTCCTTTCTTCTTTGCATAATGATGCTAATGTATCAGAATTATTGTTCAAAGTATAACCATTTTCATTGCTAAATGTGAGCAACGTAAGTTATAAAAGTGTCTTCCAACCACTAAAATGTTCTTGTATCAGCAGCTTTATGTTCTATCAAGCATTTTTTATGACTGAAATAAAAGTAAAACACTGCCACATAAACAGATCATGTCTTGTAGTTTCATCTTTTGATCTATGTAATGAGTCTTTCATGGGAACCAAGGTGGATAAAATAATAATTTTTAAATCAATTTTTATTTAAATCCATTTTAATATAATTAGATTTTTTTATTTACATATTGGTAGTTCTTTAGCAATTTAAGATATTAAATTGGGAAGAAAGTGAAGTGAATGCTGTGTACTTGTTTGGTTTCCAATTGTTAGTAGAATTTCAGATTTTAGATTTTTTTTTTTTTACACTAAGGAAATTTCACACTTAAAATGCTCATTTATACTTAAAAACAAAAACAAAAAAACCTGGTCTTCATGAACAGCCTTGCTGTGATAACACTACATGTTCATACTTGCTATAGTTACAACTAATATCACCTTCCAATATATTAAACTTCCACAAGTCAAAAAAGTTAAAATTCTTCAAACAGGCTTTGCTTCTCCAGCAGGGTTTATAGTTTGAAGTCAGTGGGATGCATGCTCCTAAATTACTTATGTGCTCTTGAAAATACGGGTATAAAAGCCTTACTTTGAATATTTTGGCCAATTTATAAAAATGTTAACAATAATGTTGTTAATGGATTGAAAGTGTAAATAACCTTTTTGTTAAAAATTATGCAATGTTGGTCTGAAGTGACAAAGATTTTTATGTCACTCTGAGTATGCCTAAACTGCAAATGAAGGTGCAATGATTGTAGTGCAAATACTCTCCCTTGCCGTAGCAGCCACAGATCTGAGGCTGAGAAGGAGTGGGGGGGTCTCTCCCCGGCAGCTGCAGCCCTAGATGTGGGAAAGTCGCCTCTTTCTCTGGCAGCCGCAGCCCTGCACGTCCCAAATTCCCCCAAACCCCTCTTCTCACCCCTCAGCCCCCTATTCCCCCCCAAGGCCACCACCTCACCTTACATGTGTGTCTTCTCCAGGGTCCAGGTACCTAATTAGTGGAGCCACGCCTGTGCAGCTCCACTAATTAGGTAGGTGGCCCTTCATTTTCTCGTGTGTGGCCATTCAGGTGTGCACCTTAGCGGGCACTTAAGATCTGCAGATCACCTAAGTGGAGCTTGCGGACCACAGTTTGAGAGCTTCTGGTCTACACATATCTATCTACAGGGAAGAAATATTTAATAAATGTCTCTTCAATCTAGCTGAGAAAGGTATAAAATGATCCAGTGAGTGGAAGTTGAAGCTAGACAAATTCATGCTAGACATAAAGCATATATTTTTAACGGAGAGTGTAATTAACCATTGGAACAATTTACCAGGTACCACAGTTCAGTGTGCACCTGCAGTAAATGAACACAAATTCCTTTCTAAAATTATCTGCACCTCTGAAAACCTTGCTTTGTAATGAAGAGAAGTTAAATAATGAATGGACAGAACTAAAGAAAATTTTATCCCTAACTTCAGATATAGTTCTAGAAAGACTCCCTGGAGAATCTTCAATCTTGTGTTAAACATCTTTCTCAGAGAAGATGAAAAGGCTTAACTTGTGTAGTGTGAAAATCTATTTAAAAATCTCTTTTCTTAGGAGGTGGAGCTTATATTAGCCATTTAGCTTTCCTAATCTAGGCAAACTTCAGCAGCTAGTTTTCCAAAAGCTGCATACAGCATTTCAGATTTTTATTATATTGATTAGTTTTTCCTTACTTTTTCTATCTACTTTAATTTGCATAATCAAAAGATTTCAGTTAATTGGGTTCAAGCAACCAGTTATATTAAAGCCAGCAGTTGTAACTGTATGGAAAATTTAGTGCAACAATACATTGATTTCTCCCCCACTCCCCAAATTAGATTTATATGGATAGAAGTATTGACTTAAAAAAACCTAGTTCACAACAGTAGGTTATAAAGTTAGTATTAATTAATTTTGCACAGAAGAACAAAGGTACCCTTGACACAGAAAATTATAGGAAGAAGAGGAGCGCCTTCATGTAAATCAGAGTACTTGGAACAAGTTTTAGCTTCGGAAAGCCCACGGCTGAAGCCCAAGTAACACTGAATATGTACAAGGATGAATGATGCACAAGTAAATAGGTCTATATGAATGCAAAATGTCATGCTGGCGTGAAATACAGTTGTAAAGTCCAGTCTTAATATAAACCTAGTTTAACTCTAACCTACATCTGTCTCAAAACAAGAGGTTGGAAAACAGAAAAATGGGACCTAATTCAGATGAAAATATTCTGTGTGCCAATGCGTCACTGGTTCTTTTCAATCTTTTGAGTTCTTGTAATAAATGTCTCCTTTCAGCCTATGTCAATGTCTTTTTTTCTGTAGTGCATGTGCTATTAGAGTGGAAACGTGGAGAAACCTAATTGGTTTTTCCATTTCAACAGAATAAATATCAAGAGGGACTACTACTTGGGAAGTAAATGTATATTAAGTGCACTTATTGGAAATTTGTGTATTTGTTCTGTAAAAGTATTTTAAGTACTGATAGCACTGGTAGTGTTTGGCATGTATAATTTGTAGTGTACAAGTTGTATATAAAATATCATTTGATCTTCTGGAGTTCTGAGTATATTCTTACAATTAAGTTTTTTTTTAATACCTGTGCCTGTTGATTCCAAAGAAAAACTGCTTTTCAGAAGTGTCTTTCTGAGATCAAATGATTGTTGTCTCTGTGGTCAAAGAGAAGTCAAGCCTCCCTTTCTCCCCACTCAGTTTCTGTAAGTGTTAAGCACAGTCTGGTCCTCTCCTCCAGCTACCTGAACCCTTAGAGGAGGAGACAAAGGACTGACATGATTGCATTTGGTGGGTGTAGTCCCACAGGAACAGCTGCTTTCTCCTCTATGGCAATGTCTGAGCTCAGCTTGTCTGGTCCACCATAATCAGTAGAGTGTGCCCAGCTCCTGCTTTCAAGCAGGAAGCGAATGAAAGGATTGATGAAAAGTGAATCTGAAAAAAGTGAAAGGATTTTTAGGGATGTAGAATGTTTTACTTCATGGATATTTTCCTTTAAAGGGGAAGATAGAGCACAGAGCTCCGCTTATACTGCTATCCCTTATCTCCATCTCCTGGTCTGTTCTTAAAACTTAGGTCAACCTAGCTACGTCACTCACACCCCTCAGAGACCCAGTTAAGCTGTCCTAAGATCTGTTATTGATACCACTAGCTCAATGGAAGAATTATTCTATCAACTTAACTCCTGCCTTCCCTGGGGGTGGATTTACCGCAGTAACAGAAAACCCCCTTCCAGTGCTTTAGCAAGTGTCTACATTACAGTGCTACAGCGAAGTAGCTGCAGTTATGCCACTGTAGTGCTTACGGTGCAGATATACCCTGTGAGATGTCTATACCTTAGGCCTTGGGTGAATGTATGTTGTCCCAATTTAACTAAAACAGTTTAAAAACAGTTCGTCATACCTTGCAAGGGTGGAACCAGTTTAGCTGCATTAGGGCTTGTTAATGGAGGGATACTCAGGACCTTAAAGATGATCTGAAGTTTCTGAAGAACATTAAACCTCCAGGGATACTGTCATTCAATTCAATCTTAGGATATGTCTGCACTACAGCAGCACAGGTATGCCACTACAGTGCTGTAGCGTATATGCTTCCTCGATCCATGTAAATTTTTTTTTTTAAGAACCACTCACGTAGATAATTCACTTCTGCAAGAGATGGCAGAGCTTGGTTGATGGAAGAATCCTTCCACTGTCCTAGATGTGTCTAGACCAGGGGTTGGGTTGATCTAACTAAAAAGTTCAGAGCACAAAACTGTTCACAGCCCTGAGCAACATCACTAAGTTAACCTAAATTTTAGATGTAGACCAGACCTTAGTTTGCTTTATCTGAATCCCTTAAGTTAATGTGAATGAAGTCCACTTCACTTCTGAATGGGAGTGTCCACACGCCACACCAGGGTTTAATATCAGAGGGGTAGCCGTGTTAGTCGGGATCTATAAAAGCTGCACCTTATAGATTACCAGACATATTGGCGCCTGAGCTTTCGTGGGTGAATACCCACTTCATCGGATGCATGTAGTGGAAATTTCCAGAGGCAGGTATAAATATGCAAGCAAGAATGAGGCAAGGGATAAGGAGGTTAGTTCAATCAGCCAGGATGAGGCCCTCTTCTAGCAGTTGAGGTGTGAACACCAACGGAGGAGAAACTGCTTTTGTAGTGGGCTAGCCAGACCCAGGGTTTAATATGCATTAACTTCACAGCTGTTGGTGAGCGTTAACGGACAAAGCCTCGGGACCGGAGCCCAAGTAGCAACTGGAGCCCAAGAGCTGGGAGTGGACAGACCTGGAGGTTGCTCTGCGTGCCCTGTCCCCACGGAGCTAGGGCCTGCTGCCCTATGGACCTGCTCTACGTGAGCCCGACCCTTCTGCATCCCGCTGGAGCCTGCTGGGCGTGGAGCGCCGCAGGCCATGAGGCGCCCCCACCATTCGACAGGCGGAAGCTGGCAGACCGGCCGGGGCTTGACAGCGACCCAAGGGGCACTAGGACCTGACAGCCATCTTCCCGAGAGGAGGCGGAGCGCGGTGAAGCGAGCGTCTGGATGAATTTGTGTTTCCTCAACCAAGCTTGTGTTTGTCTGAACGGTGACACCGCCCCAAAGCCTGCTGCTTCGCTAGCTGGTTTGGGCAGCGGGCGGAACTCCTTTCTGATTGGTGCGTGAGGCTGTCGCTCTTTCATTTTCCACTTCCCCCCCCCGCGGGGACGCCGGCCCCAGTCACCTGCGAAGGGAACTTTGCTCTAGGCCAGGCAGGGGGTAGCGTGGGGGATGATGGGAGGCTTCCAAGATGGCGGCGAGGCGGCTTCAGAGTGATCGCGGCCCCCTGCAGCGTCTTCTTCATTCATTGCAGTAACGAGCGGCGGCGCTGGGATCCCGACGGCGGCAGGGACAGTGCCGCGGCGGCCCGGGCGCGGCGAACGGGGAGTCTCCGGGGCTCCAGGAGCGGGCAGCTCGTGCGCTGAGACGGGAGGGGCTCCAGGCTCCCGGGCGCTGTGAGCGGCGAGGCGGCTCCGGGTCCAAGCGAGCGGCTCAGGCGCTGTGAGGAGAAGAGACGGAGTCCGGTCCCCGGGCGCTGCGGTCGACTGGCCCCTGCGGCGCGCGGCACGGACTGAGCGGACATGGCCACCATGGAGAAACTGATGAAGGCCTTCGAGTCCCTCCGCTCCTTTCAGCAGCAGCAGGGGCCGGCTGCCATCCCCGAGGAGCCGCTCCAGAGAGCGTGAGTGTCCGGCCGCGGGGCGGCGAGGCTGGGTCGGTAGCGAAGACTAGGCAGGGGAGGAAGGGAACTTAGAGCTTCTGAGAAGCGGCTGCCCTCAGAGGGAGCGGGCTGGCGGGGACGCCCCCGGGCGCCCTGTCACGGGTGGGGTGGATGGGCCCCTGCTGCTGCCGCCTCTTGAGCTAAGGGTTGTCTGAAGGCGGGTTCCAGAAGCATTTGGTTTCACTTAAAGACCACCAGCAAAATCCTTTCTCACCAGAAGCAAAAGCATTAACCTGCTCCGCAATGAGCGAGGCGACTTCGTCTCCAGGCCGCTGCAACCGGTGATCCCTCGTGACGGCTAGAGAGCCTGTCGCACAAGCCCTGGTAAACTCCAGGAATAATAATAATCCACGTGTGTACCAGCAAAGCAAGGCTGGTGGTCTACTCTCAGCTGGCCCTTTCTCACTGGAAGAAGATACTTTATTAACGTGTCTGTTCTGGTAACTGTCTGGGTATCTATCTAGAAAATACTGAAAGCTTTTTTTTTCTCTTCAAAAAAGAAATGAGAAATAAACTGGGTAGGTGTGGTTTGTTTGTTTTTTTTAAAAAAAAAGCACTAGTACGGTTAAAGAGCAGACAAATTATTATAGTACTTATGATAACCTAGACAAATAAGTGCAAAGAAAAAACTAACAGACAACCACTCCTTTATACAAACATCTACACTTTTTACTGGACTCAAATCTCTCTGAACACGGGCCTTCTGGATCTTATTACATTATATGGCGTTAGATACATATCTTATTAGAACCAGGTTTCAGAGTAACAGCCGTGTTAGTCTGTATTCGCAAAAAGAAAAGGAGTAGTTGTGGCACCTTAGAGACTAACCAATTTATTTGAGCATAAGCTTTCGTGAGCCACAGCTCACGCTCAGATAAATTGGTTAGTCTCTAAGGTGCCACAAGCACTCCTTTTTTTTCTTATTAGAACCAGTTCTCTAGGGGGGTGCAAAAAGTTCAGTAGTTTATCACTCAGCTTTTACCAAAAGTGCTGACACTTATTTGTCCAGTATGTCAGAATCTGATTCTTTTAGGGGAACTTTTTTAATCTTGTAGAAGTAATAATTTATTGTTTGAATTATATGTAACAATTTCTTAAAAAACCTGAACAGTGAAAAGAGATTAGTTATTTCAGTTTTGTCAGTTTTATGTTCTACTTCATGTTGCAATATTAAAAACTGCTAGAGAGTATTTAAATCCCAAACAAAGCTAGTTCTTATTCAGGTGGAGTTTTATTAAAACATTATTTATTACATTGATTATTTAGATGATCCTCAAGTATATGTTTTTCACAAAACACAGAAGAAGAAAATCAGTGACCCCCTGTGTGTATTATACTACGTATTCCAATTAAAAAAAAATTGTCTTAGGCATTAATACATGTAATTTTATACCTACAGTTACTGATAGTTTCCCTATAGTTTTAAATATTTTTACAATATGAACTCACAAACCCCAAAGGTCTCCATTTACCTGTAATATTGCATAGCAAAATTCTTACTGGGAAGAAAAAGTTATTACTGCATCACATAAATGAATAATAAAAGGAGTATCCTGTGAATGTTAGCTGACCAATCATTTACACTGATGTTAACAACTTAGATGATAAAAGATGACAGAGTTAAAACTTAAAAGGGCAATGGCAACTGGGCCATTTAAAAGAAAAATAGTAGTAGTAGTTTAGGGTGCTATTTCTTCCGTTTATAGGCTCTTCTATGATATCTCAACAAATTTATTCTCAAACACCTGGCAAATAATTAAGTACTATCCCCATTTTACAAATGGAAAAAGAGACAGGAATAAGAGATGATTTAGAGCAGGGTCACACAAGACATCTCCTAAGCCCCAGTGGTCCAGTGCCGAAACCATGAGACCAATCTTCCTTCACCACATATGCCCAAGTCCCTCTGCCACTTTGTGGTTTTACCACATTTTCCTATTTTTAAGTGAAAGACACAAATGATTGAGGAAATTGACCAGCTGCAGAGCTGAGGTAGTGAAAGAGACCGTACACAAATGTCTGTCAAATGCAAAGTGAACACACCAAACGAGACATTTTTTCTTTCGAGTCTCTAAATTATAGTATTCTTAGGTCAAAATATTGCAGGTAAAAGTATGATTTAAGTTGAGGATGTCTCTGCTTATGTTTTTAAATGCTTTTATGAATTTCCAAACAACGTCACCACATCCTATGTGGCCTTAGTGTGTTTTAGTTTTGCAACTGTATTTGTTTTGGGTTCCACCAGGAACTATCCAACCACTTACCTGGCATACCATAGAGCCTGTTTTTAAAAGCAGAGTCAATAAGGTTAGATCAGAAGCCTGAGTTTTCACTGTTCTTATTTTGCAAGTTTAAATTCAGACCCTTACATCATATTTTAATATCCACTTGTGGGTATTTGTACCCCATACTTTAACAGATCTTTTGTGAAAAAGCTACCATTATAAGAAACTATCTTATTAGTAGACTCTGTGGAGAAACTTAACTGGATATGTTAAAGTTTTCTGGACAGTGTTATTCAATGGTAAAATCAACTTTCAGTCTACTCTCCAGATAGTAAGAAACACCAGCGCAACAAATACACAAACACTGGGATCATGCCACTGCCACATGAGAAGGCAGCTAGGGACATAGCCCCAGGACAGGGTTATGGGCTAGCTTCTTCACAGACTTCCCTGGAAAAATGAAAATGGGTTGGGATCATTTGGTAAAACTCCCTCCAAATGTGAAAGATGATTGTTTACCTGGTCCCACATCAGGGTGTGTGCTAGGTTTGCAGACTGCCTTCTGGCAGTTCAGTGACTTTTGGCAAGTCAGAAATTAGAGAGACAAGATAGATGAGGTTATATCTTTTATTGGACAGAACAGAAGTTGGTTCAGTAAAAGAGATTACCTCACCCACTTTCTCTCTCATATCCTGGGAACAACACCAGCTACGACATCACTGCATACAAGTCAGAAATCACTTAACCCACAGCCCTTCTGTTTTCGCTAATGCTCTGGGAATCAGGAAGAAAATTCTGTACATTCAGTGTTCAGACAATAAAGATTTTAATTTGGGGCCTTCTACACCTGCTCCATCAAGACCTTCACAGGAGACAATCACAGTGATGGGATGCTACAGCACTGTGACGCTGAACAGCTCCTTGCCCTCATCCTCCACCACAGCACTATGGTTAGACTCCAGAACAGTCATGATTAAGGTTAAGCTTGTGTCATGGTTATTTTTAACAAAAGTCCCGGGCAATAAACAAAAATTCACAGACGCCTGGGACCTGTCTGTTACTTTTACTAAAAATAATGGGCGTGTGGGGGAATGACGGAGAGATGACTGAAGCCCAAGGGGTGGAGGGAAGAGAGCCCAAGCCCTGCTGGGGGATGTCCGGCACCCACAGGCCCTGCTGGCTGACCGCTCTGGGGCCTCCTGCAACCCTAGGGTTGAAGCAGAAAATGTCTGATGTCCCTGAAAGTCATGGAATCCTGTAACCCCGGTGACAAATGTTATCTTTCGTCATGCTGTAGATGTTGATAATGATAGTAACCACATCCAAGAGAAAGGTGATCTGATCTAAGAGATAAAAGTTCATGAGGGAGAACAATCCCTGAAATTTTTCCTGCATATTTCTCAAACGCACTTGATAATATTTAAGGAAAACAAAAAATGCTAGCTGTTTTAAAGTTATTCATTCCTCCATACCAGTACCTCCTAGCTCTCCTCATCACAATCCTTACTAAACAAGATTATGCACAGTGACACTTGTCATCAACAACTCAGGTTCTCAGAAAAGTAGTTTCTTTAATAGAGATTCATCTTTAAACATCACACAAAGCTGTATTACAAACCAAGAAAATATTGTAAATTAGTGATGATGAATGAAGAAAGGGTTGGCAACTGGAAATGGCCCATAGTTCCAAGTTTTACATTAGTTAGATTACCCAAATGGTAGCTAGTGAAGTGTTAGCATTCTTTGTAGACTTTCTCCTTTTAAAATCTGAGCATAAACCAAAATACAGTATGAGTCATTCTTTTCAGGTAGATTGTTCCATTTTTAGCTCAACTCATTGATTGTAGATTTTTACAGTGGATTGACTTTCATAGAGATTGGATTAGCCTATGCTAGTTCAACTAACTTTGAAGCCGTGCTGAGTTTTGGTTGGGGCTGAAGTGTCTTTGGTTTAATAATTAAAATACAAAGGTAACCATATTCAGCAACTTAATTGGCATACTTTATATTTAGTGAGTCTACATGCATGTCCAAATGGAAGTTGATTCAATAAATTGCACTCTTCCTCTGTGTCAGTACTGAACCATTGGCTTCTATAGTGCTAAAAGGCACTGTGCTGCTGGAGATGTTTGGTAAAATTTTCAAAAGTACTTAAGGGGTTTAGGAGTTTGATTTAAGAGCTTGTTGACTTTAGCTGGGCTTAGACACTAAGTCACTTAAGTGATTCTGAGTATTTTAACCTGCTGTCTTAAGTGATGTGAAATGGAGATTCTGACAGTGGTCATTAAAGGTCCTGTGACACCTTTCCAAGAGTTACTGGTGTTTACCATGGTCCTTTTGGCCAAATTTCAACTTGGTCACTCATTCTGCCTACTGTGTAATTTGGCCATGACATTTTTCGCTATTTTTGTCTTAAACTATTATGCAGTGTTGATGTTAATCTGCTGCTTTTTTATTCCATGTGTGGTTGCATTTAAGCGTGTGTGTGTGTGTGTGTAAAGGGCGCTTGAAATGATTTATGTAAATTTGTAAGATATTTTAGCATTCTGAAGAAAGTAAGGTGCTTTCAAAATAAGATTTTATTATTAACCCTCTTCTTTATTCACTCTTTCCTCAAAAAACCCCAAAACCTTGGGTTGAGATGAAATATGAGGAACTTCATCCCAAAAGGGAAGTTTTTTGAGAAATGTGAAAAAAATGGATTAACTATGTCAACCTATGTTTGTGGAAAATTGGATGCCACTTACTGACAAGAAATAGGTAGCTGAAATTTTTGTGTCACTGTAGAAACTAATTGTTACAAATTTGGTTAGAGACATGCTGTCAACTTTAAAATCTTACCAAGGTAAAAGTAGTTTTTTAGGTACTACCTGCTTCTACCAATTTTTGTCATTCTCCATTCACAACTTCTCTTCTTCAAAATGCCACAGAAAACCTAACTTTGAATTTCCTGACCTTAATATCTAAAATCTCAACATAACGATTGCATCAGTATAACTTATTACATTTAATATAGTTTCTCTTTTTCAGTGAGGGGTTCAACTTTTGTATTGTGATTTACTTCAGTACATCTTAGTGGCAAGGCAATTACATTTTTATGCAAAAAGACAAATTAGTATTCTGAAAGTGAGAGCTTGCTCTTCGTGTGTATTTTATCTTTTAGCCTTGTTTGCGGTTTATATGAAAATCTACCAACATCATATATGATTGGATGGGGAAGTAAAATGAATCTGGCTTTTTGGACTACAATTTCCTAGAATGTCTCTTGTTGGCAGTCTGTGCTTTCTCATTTTGATAGTGTTGTACTGAACTGCAAAAAATAGAAATATACTTCATTTTATATATCTATGAATCTGTTTTACTGAGACTTTCTGTCTACCCTTGCTTTCCAAATGCTTAATCAACCAATATAATTTTGCCTGAATTTTTTGTCATTTGCTCAAACAGTTGTGTAATGTATGATCAGTGCAGCTAGCTTATAAACAAGGTGCGGGAAACTAGCAAGTCAGTGTGGCATACTAGATAGGAACACTGCACTGTGAGAGTTAGGGACTCAGGGTTACACTTTTTGATTCTGCAGCTAACTTTCTATGAGACCTTGTTTCCCTTACCACTCTTGGTCTGTCTTGTCTCTTTATATTGTAAACTCTTTGGGGCTGGTAGAGGATTTCAGGATAGAAAAAAGTAATTAACGCAATACTGTGCATCAGTTTCTCATAATCCGGAAGTGCCAGTATGGTATGATGACTTCTATCTCCTTCAGGTAAAATGTGGTTGATTTTAATGCCACTTATGGGCTTCATAGGGAGTTCTGATCCGCTTTCTTTGGCTGGAATGGATGCTAGCTGTGATGCACGTCTGTAAGAGTGCTGTGTTTTAAAATAGAGACAAATTGAGGCTAAGGTGGCAGGGAGAGGGAGGAAGGGAGATCAGTCTTTGGGGTTGTTATAAGGCTATTGAATGACAAAACTTTTGTCTTTCAGAGGTGTTAAACACCCTTCTTCCCCCCCCCCCCCGACCCCCCGAAAGATTTGCTGATGACAAGCGCCAGTGTGAACTGTGCGCTCCTGCTGACAACGCAAATGCCTCTCGTTGGGGGTGGAAGTTTTTTATCGGCAGGAAAGCCGACAAACAGCAGCTACGCAGTACGACTTTTAGCGACACGGCTGTAGTGACACAGCCATGTCACTAAGAGCTGTGTAGTGTAGACATTACCGTATTCATTTAGGCTATGTTGGCAAATAAAATAGCTGACTGTGTATCTGTCAGACTTGAATTACAGTAAGGAATGCAGTATTTAAGTTGTCATACCACACAAACTAACAGTGATTGGTTTGACATGTTTAGTTTTATTCAAAGTACATTCTCTTCTTAATTTTAGAAAAAAAGAACTTTCAACTACCAAGAAAGATCGAGTGAATCACTGCCTGACAATATGTGAAAACATAGTTGCTCAGTCTCTAAGGTAATAAAACGTTATTTCTGAACTCATTTTATTAATGTTGGTAAAGTTACTTTAACTTTTTATGGCTTTCTCATTTTAATTGATCTTTAATTCTAAATGTTGAACATACTCTTTTAAACAGGACATTTAAGGGCTTGAAAAATTTACCAAGCAGACTCTCTGGAGGACCAAACCGATTATCCAAAGGTTGTTATGAGACCTTGCTATAACTGAGGTCCAGGAGAAATGCCCTGGTGAAAACCCTAGTCCTCCAGTTTTCTTCAGCTACTGGGAAGGTGCTGAGATTTCTACCTGGAGTTAGTCCCCAGATTCTGCTTGGGAGCTTAATCTTTCATATCACTCAGTTTGGCTTACTTACAATTTGAATTTGTTCCTGTATAGGTGCAAGCATGCGGAAATTACATCTCTTTTCTCTCCTTCAGGGCCTGCTGGCCTTGCAAGAGCTACACTTTGCCCTTATTATATTCCTCCAACTTCCATCCTTTGTCTCATTCTCCCCAGTGTGTCTGTCTCAGCTGCATTTGGTGGCATTCTCAAGGAACAGCGTGAAAGTGACATGGTTCTTGACAGTTTCATTGTTTCCCAGTGACTTCTTTATAGCAATATTTACTTAGGTTGTCAGCTGTTTGGAGAATATGCTGTCTTTTATTGCGTGTGCGGTCCTAGCATGATGACCACTGATTGGGGCCTCAAGCCTTTTCCACGGTATAAGTATGATTAATAATATAATAGTATAGGAATTGACCAGGTCTTTTTCATTCAGATGTTGCTTGGCAGGGGTAAGAGAGTAGTATGGGCACTGGAACTGTATATGTGCAGACTCCAAAGAAAACACTGCTTTAATTTACTTTCGTTTCCCGTTTAGTGACTTCATTTTTTAAAATGAAAGCTTAAGCTCTGCAATTAAGAAATTGGCTTAGGGCCCACACTCGTCAGACCCTTTTTAGTTGTCTCACATTGGACATCGAAAATTTGTAATTGCTCTGAAAAAATCTTGGCCCAAATATATACTTGTTTACTGTTTGTTTATTCGTTGTATTTCCCTAAGATCAGAGTGAAGCTATACTTTGGACCAGATCCTGCATGTGGTTCCAGTGACAGGATTTGGGTCTTCGTTTGTAGTTGGTGTTGACAAAACTGCAGGCAAAGTAAACTCCTTGGGGCAGGGATGGTCTTTCTGTTCTGGTTGTACAGCACCTAACACATTAGAAACCTGGTGCATAACTAGGGCTCATAGGTAGTACGGTAATAACATCCATGACAATCTTTTCAGTGTCTTTAAAAAAAAGTTCTGTGTAAATATTTTTGTTCACATTTAATTATTTTCGCAGTTTGGTCCTACGCTATTTGACAGTACCCTTGAATGTTATACAGTAAGGTGAAATAAGTTTTATTTTTGAAACAATATCTTGTAAAAAAAAAATACAGAATATTGATCAAAAGTATAGTTTCATCTTAAAGGATTACATTTTAAATATGAGTTTGGCAAATACATAACTTCTGTGTAATTTTTGCCATGCATTTCTGTTGCTTACAAACTTGGGCTAAAATTGTCTACTACATGTTAATATTCATTTAATAATTTAATAGGGAAGGTAGAGTTTAGTCTATTAACTTTAAATGCTGTATAGATTTTGTTTGAATTACCATGTTTTTTTGCCCTTTCTGACTTTTTTAACTTGATATGTTGCCTTCCCTGAGAAAGGTGGGGGACAGATGAATATCTGCTTGTCAGCTAATGTTGTTGCCACTCTTGGTAAAATAATCCTAGCCATTGGTAAGCAGTTGACAAATCCCAAAGGAAGTATTTTTTGCCTATATTAGACTCATCTACAGCTCCCTTTACCATAATATCTGAGCAGCTCACAATCTCTCTCTCTCTCTCTCTTTTTTTTTTTTTTTTTTAAATGTGGTTATCCGTACAACATTTCTGTGAGGTAGAGAAGTACTTTTATCTCCATTTAAAAATGAGGAACTGAGGCTTGAGTGACTTACCCCAGTTACACAGGCAGTCTGTGGTTGAGCATGGAAAAGAACCAGGACTGACATGTCCCAGGCAAATGGCCTTGATCAGTGAACTATCCTTCCTTTCGCATTTTTGTGTGTGACTTATACACCTGCTTGGATTCTGAATGTAAGAGTCTTCATTGCTCTTTTATGGGGTTTTGGGGAATTATTCATTGAATTTAATGTGAAGAAAACATTTTTACAGAATCAGAAGAATTCTTTGAAAATATCCCATTAAAATTGCAGAATTCTAGAGAAGAATAAAAAGTATGCATGTTCTTAAATTTTCCAGAGTGGTTCAAATCCAAGTTTGATTTGTAAAATTATGATGAATACATCTGTTCCTGCACTCCATCTACTAGCTTATCCTTACAATGAGGAATAGGGGAAAAAAAAAGTTTTGCTTGCCCCAGGTAATCTGTGTTGTATTTTGGAAGGCTGCTTTAAAGAAGTTAGTCTCATGGAGGAATGCTCCCTGGATTCTAAATAATATGTCTTTGCAATTTAGAGTGAGCTTTGCAATCAATATGCTGGTTTTTGGGACGTACACCAAGTGCTGTGCTTTGTTGTTTATGCTGGTTCAGTAAGAGCAGTTTACACCCACTTCTGATGTAGTGGGAGACTCTGGTGCAAGGACTGTGTCTTCTGAGCATTGGAATGCTGTATTGCTTTAACATATTGTATGTAAGATGCAGGGTCATCCTGGGGTGAAAAGAGAATGGGTGACAACTCCGGTTATAAGTAAACAATATGATGCTATATTGACCCGTCTCACATTCAGAATATTTGGCATGGGAAATTCAATTCAATTGCAAAAGGACATTTGTAATATTATTTTATTTCCAAACCATGTCAACAGGAAAAGTGAAAACTATAAATATGGACTCCAGTCTTCAGCCTGTCTTCACAAAGAGTAATATTCATTTAACTTTCCATAGTGTACTTTTTAACGTTAACTTTTTTTTTTAAACTTAGGAATTCTCCGGAATTTCAGAAACTGCTTGGTATTGCTATGGAACTCTTTCTTCTCTGCAGTGATGATGCAGAGTCTGATGTCAGGATGGTTGCTGATGAATGTCTCAATAAAGTTATAAAAGTAAGAATTATGTAATGTATGTATTTTATCATTCTATATATATATTATCATTCTATATCTTTCTTTAATACATTGTTCTATATGAAGTTAAATTGATATTATTCATCTGTTTCCCTGGTTCTTGACATTTCTCTTAACACATTGAGAGATCAAGTATGCTTCCTAACCTTGCTTATCACCAAGCTCAACACATTCCTTAAGAACAAAAGAAAAATATCATTGGATGTAAGAGACTTTCTAATATACTGTTGGCACTGTTTCTTTACTTTGATCCTTTCAGGCCAAAAGGCTTCTAATGATAAGGGTAGTTAAGCTCTGGAATAGGCTTCCAAGGAAGGTTGTGGATTCCCCATCACTGGACAATTTAAGAACAGCTTTGATAAACACCTGTCAGGGATGATCTAGGTATACATGGTCCTGCCTCAGTGCAGGGGGTTGTACTTTGACCTCTCAAGGTCCCTTCTAGCCCTGTATGTATGTGATTCTGTGAAAGTGATGAAAAGCTGAGCTTCTGAGGAGGGAGAGGGTCTGCAGAGGAGAGGGTTGTTAACTTGGTCCCCAAGGCTAAGCTGGACCTGCCCAACTACTTGAAGGAAATACTAAGCTTAGCTAAAACTGTATATGTTGCGGTTTTTGTTGTTGACCTTTTTCTCTGTTGTGTCCTATGGGTAAATAAATGTTACTTGATTCTGAATAAGCTTCTTCTGTGACTGCATTCTTGGACTGGTCTAGACTCCCAGAGGAAAGTCTAAGCATGGGCTATAACCTAGCTAGCCCTGCTAAGACTACAGTTGGCAAATGAATACTGTAATTTGATGACCCAGTCAGAGTGGGGGGTGAATCATGGGATTCCACCATGAGAGAGGTGTGGATGTGTTATGCTATACAAAGTACATGGGATCTTTTATAAGAGAGAAGGCAAATATGCCATCTTTATTTAAAATACAACAGTTAGCATATGCTTTTCAGTCACATCGCTCGCACACATGCACACGCACCCCCACCCTGCAGATGGTCTTTATAGTTACTGGTCTGTTGTAGCTCAAGTCAATCTAATGGCCAGTTGGTGAGGAGCTCGGCTCTGTCTGTTGTGATCCGATGCTCCGAGGCTTTGCAGGACTGAACCCAGAGTTCCTTGGCAAAACATCCCAACTTTATAGTTGTAAATTTCCATTTGAGTCCATGCATTTTGCAATGTCATCCTGTAATCATTAGTCCTTAAGTGGTGTTAATCTTGGGGTTTTCTGCTGTTATCATTTTATGGTTATTGTAGGGCTTCCCATCGTTATCTCCTATTTGTTGCCTTGCCTTCAGGGGTGCCTGCCTCACCTCTGAGGTCCTCAGTGCTGCTAACATGTTTAGCCTCGGATACAATGGATATTTTCTGATTGTCTGCTGGTGTTTCCAAGTCTCTCACTTTTTCTTGACCATCTGGACATTTGTGATGGCTTTCACACCTTCTCTTTTCCTGATGCATGCATTCCTCATTCACACAAACAGTCTCTCACAGAAACCTTCAAAAGTATACAGAATACATTGTAAATTAAGTCTTGCTAAATCTTATAACTAAAACAGTTCACATTGGGGCTTCAGGCCCTCAACATTTCTCTAATTTATTTATCGTAGACACAATACCAAATCCTGTCTTTTACTTACTAAACCTTAAAACAAAGAAATGTATATTTAACTAGAATGCCTAATTTGTAATACATATAGGAAACCATAGTAGACATTATAACTTATCCTAAAACAAAAGGGTGACCATAATCAGTCATACAGATTGTTCTGGTCTGTCCCTGCCTTAACATCAGTACAGACACTGGCAATCTGTCAGATGCATTCCTACCAATGACCCAGAGGGTCATTTCTTTCTGCTATTCAAAAAGGGTGGCTGGTAAAATAAAATCAAGACATACATTAGTACCTCTACTCTTATAGTACAATTATAAAATCCTGCTCTTACAGATGTTGGTCTGTAACTTGGAAAGAATTGCGATGGAGAGCTTGAGTGGAGGGTCAAAAGTACATCTCACTCTGTAACCTTAACAGCAATTAATTAGAATTTCTTTCTTATTGTTGTAATAAGAAAGACTAAAAATAAGTCCTTTATCATGACCCTTGTTATAATGGGTTTATAAACTAATTATGATTTTGAAATGAATATATGGGTAAAACAGATTTAGAATTGGTGCCTCGTAATGTGTAATCTTTAATGGCAATGCCTTCAAGAATTAAGTTTTAATTGGTTTTATGCCTTGCAAAATCAGCCTGCTTCAGATAACTAGCATTGGATTTGATCTTGTAAGCTGCCAAACACTTTAGATTTCCATCTAAGTTGATAGAAGTTGAAGCAACTGTTCACTGTGTAGGATAGGGCTGCTGGCTTTTCCTTAAGATATTTGTCTTCAATAGCAAACATCCATCACGACTGTGTGTAAGCAGTTCCTAGATAAGTTAGGTTTTCATGACAAGGGAACTAATAGACTTGATGGAGTCTTCTACTCTTTTCCCTTCCTTTGTGTTGGAGACTCTTTTTGAGATGAATAGTGTTTTTCCCCCTTCTGTCTCCTTCCTTCCCTCTTCCTCTTTGGCTGTGGTACAAAGCTTTCTCAAAAAGGAGAGTCTTGCAGCATCTAACACTTGCTACTCTCCTCCTGCAAACCCCCCCACCCCAAAATAAAAAATAAAAGAGCATTTGGTCAGATTGCCTAGTACTTTCAGAAGCTGTTCCAGTACAAAGGTAACCTTTTTGGCTGAAAATCACAGTCTGCTATGGTACAATAAACTCCGTTTGCATTTTGTTACAGGCTTTGATGGATTCTAACCTTCCTAGGTTACAGTTAGAACTCTATAAAGAAATTAAAAAGGTGAGTGTAGGTCTTCCCTTTTATCTTTTTGGACATGTCTGATATTTAATATTTTTAAGTATTCTGTTAGATTATTGTTATATATTGATCTGTGAAGTGATTTTTTGTTTTTAAAGTGTAAATTTCTCTTTGACATTTGAGCTGCTGCAAGAGCTGTGTTTACTGGCTTTTTAATGTATATTTTTGTATGTGTGGATGTTAAACATAAAAATGTCCCTTGTTAACAGCTGCTCAGGTGACGTACATCTCCATATAGCATGGCAAACACGTTTCTTACCACTGAAGGCTACACTTGTATTATATATGCAAGCTAATTATTTTAGTCGGTGGTACCTTCTGTAGCAGGTGCCTGTAAAATAAGGAAGAAGAAATCAATCAAATGTTAAATGCAGAACACTGTATCATTGGGTGACTGCTTACAGCACCTGTGAAGACATACACATGAAGCAAATTTATAGCGGAACCAATATTATCATTAATCATTTCTAACACATTGTTAATGCTTTTTATATATTTCTTATGGGAGGAAGGGGAAATATAACTCACTGGAATAGTGTTCAGGAGAGACAGAAGTTCTATTCAGGACTTCAGCAGCTCTTCTCTGCTGAAGACTAAAACACCCTGTGGAACCCCATGCAAGTCTCTCATTATTGGCCATGTTATATGTAGGTGCTCTTGCATCTTGACCAGCACTATGAGTAAAAAATAAACCCTATTACCTTTATTAGTTTAAAAAAAAACCCCAAAACTTGAGATATTCCTTCTAAGGAGACTCTCCCAGTATGAAAGGATTTTATGTGTATTGAGATGTTGTTGTTCTAACTGTTCCACTTTCCTCCTAACCTATGCTATTAATGACTTGTGAATATCAATCTTGTCTACAGGGATAGATTATAGACACACAAAAAGAGAAGGGAAAAATGTGTTTAAACTGAAGTTTGAAACACTCCCATCTGTTCTTTGAGTAGATGCAGCCATGTATTACACTTGTACTTTCGTTGCACTGGAGCTGGAGAATTTTGACTAGCAGTACCCACGTACGTGTGTGTGTCTGTGTGTGCCATAGCGCCTTCCCCCACCCTCTCTGCGCGATATGAGGTGTTGCCGTCCCGACCCTCTTCTGTTCCTTCTTACTGCCTGTGGCTGGAGTTGGAGCTCTGTATGCTTTTCACCTCACAAGCCCTCGATTTTAGTGACTTTTGCTAGTTGTATGTGGTTAATTAGTACCCTTAGTGTAGCACTTGTTAGATTGGTATTAGTTAGCTTAAGTACTTCTGTGGTGATCTCCTCATCAGGGTTTAAACATTGTCCATCGTGGGCGGGAGCGATCCCCACATGTGGTGCTTGTGCTTAGGAGAGAAGCCCATGTCAAGGAGTGGAGTTTAATTTGCAAATAGTTCACCAAATAGACTCAGGTGGCAAGGGATCTTTGTCTAAAGCAGCACGAACAGGCCGTGTAGTCTGCTTCAGCACCAACGCCTTCAACAGATTGGAGGTCACCCTGGGTTCTGAAAGTGCTGCTGCTTTGTCCTCTGGAGCTGGCGCCTTTCTGAAGAGATGGAGGAGTTGTTCCCTGTCAAGTGTGCCAAGGAAAAGGTCACATCTAGTCTAGATCCTGTGGGGACCCATCTCTCTCCTCCAGAAGTGTGGATTGGCATAGTGTGAATGCCAGTGCGTGGGAGGGAGTGGGTCCTGTCAGCCACTCCCCAGTGCTATGTGGGGAGGTCAGAGCTTGACTCCGGTTCTGGTCCCAGGGTGTCAGTTGAGTTTGATACTGATGAAGGTATCAGTGTGTGACATTATTGACATGAACTGGGATCATATAGATCATTGTTGCAACCAAAGTCCTGTAGTGGCACCAAATCTTGTATAAAGGGGGTCAAATAGGGGGTGTAAGACAAGGTTATGGTTTGTTGGTTATGTTATATGTATATGTGTATCATTTTTGTAGTTGAAGTTATGAATATTGGCTCTATACTGTCTGTATTTCAAACATATGCTATGCTTCTGGGTGACACCCCAGACAAGTTGGTGTCAGCTCTGCCTAGCCTGCTTGATGGCCCATTAAGGACCATCAGCTATACAATTGACCAATTGAGAGAAGGCAGATACACCTTGTGACATGCAGGGGCATGCCTACGGACAGAACTCTGAGGTTTTTCCATGCCATTTGATGGACAGCTTGTCTGTGGGGGAAAAAGACCACCTGAAAAGAGAATATAAAAAGCTGCTGCAGCTCCTCCATCTTGTCTTCAATCGTGCTTCTTGCTTCTGGAGGGACTTCGCTACAAACAGAAGCTCTACACAAAGAACTGAAGACCCATCCCAGCTATGCATGTACTCCAGAGACTTGATTTGAACCTGCAGTTTATTCAATCACTGCTACAAGCCTGAACCAAGAATTTTGCCGTTACTGTATGTAATTGATTCCATTTAACCAATTTTAGCTCTCATCTATATCTGTTTCCTTTTATGAATAAACCTTTAGATTTTAGATTCTAAAGGATTGGCAACAGCATGATTTGTGGGTAAGATCTGATTTGTATATTGACCTGGGTCTGGGGCTTGGTCCTTTGGGATCGAGAGAACCTTTTTTCTTTTACTGGGGTATCGGTTTTCATAACCATTCATCCCCATTATGAGTGGCACTGATGTGATACTGGGAAACTGGAGTGTCTAAGGGAATTGCTTGTGTGACTTGTGGTTAGCCAGTGGGGTAAAACCAAAGTCTCCTCTGGCTGGCTGGTTTGGTTTGCCTTGGTGTGCAGAAGAACCCCAGCCTTGGGCTGTAACTGGTCTGCTTGAAGAAATTTGGTCTGAATTGGCACTCGGTTTGGTCACACCAGAACCAGCATCGTTACACAGTGGCAACAGACTTCTTCTGCCTCTCTATCGTGACCTCTCCCTTGGTTCAGGAATTTTCCAGGGCTGTGTCCTTTATAGCCCCTTTGGCTGGGTGGGCTGCTGAACCTGTGGGTCAGTCAACACTATGCCCCGATGTTTCCCTTTTGCAGTTGGTGGAAGTGGGGCTCAGCACAAGGGATCTCCTCAGCACCAGGAGCTTCTTCAGCACCCCTATGGCCAATGCCACCAGTGTTACCATGGAAGCACTCACCTGTTCTTTGGTATCATCGGCTATCTTTGTACCACTGCTGACTTTTGGTCAATACAGCTTTCAGCATCAGACCCGACAGTTCGCACCAGCTCCCTCTTCGTTCTGGGCTACAGATCAGTCGGACTGGAGTCATGGTTGGCTCCAACACTATCCTCTGAAGTTCAGGATTCTTCAGTGTCTGGGTTGGAATCTTCCTTCTCTCACTCTCTACCTGACCCACATCGGGAGCTGTTCATGGAGCGCTGTGGGTACAAGGTTGGTGCCCGTCTCATGGTCAGGACAGGGGTCCTTGGCATGGCTCCCACTGACCACCAAAGTCCTATCCATACCAGTGGCCTCCATGGGACGCTCCTCGGTCTCTGAGGTCCCACTCCACATCTTGCTTGAAGGCGAGATCACCGTCCAGGTCTGTGGCAGTGACTGTCAATCTATTACAGGCCCAGGCACTGGTGAGCCTTCCCCTCTCTCAGCCTCCACAATTGTCCCATCCAGGTCTGTCTGTCCCAGAAGAGGATCCGGCTCTGGCACAGTTAACCGCTTCATCTTCATCCCATGATTGATTCTGTGGTTCCTGGCTCTTCCTCTCCTTGTACCAGAGATTTCAAGGCAACCAGAACCTTTTGCAGCACATGGTTGCGTCCCTGGGTATTCAAGTGGAGTTCCTGCAGGAGAACACCCATAAGATATTGGATATCCTGCAGCTGTCTGCCGCTGGGAGAGTTGCCTTCCCTATTAACGATGTGCTCCTTGAGCCTGCTAAGGTCCTCTGGAGCATGCTGGATTTGGTATTGCCTGCAGCAAAGCACATGGATAAATGGTATTTGATTCCAGTGCAGAGATTTGAGAGATTCCATCCAGCCCCAAATTCCCTGATCGTAACTGGTGAACAGGTAGGGCCCAGTAGGGCAGATTTAAGTCCATTCCCGCAAGGATAGGGACTCAAAATGAATAGACCTGATGTGTAGGAAGATTTATTCCACATTTTCCTTGCAGATGCAGATTGCTATCCAGCAGGAATCAGGCTCCATTTGAGTCCCTGGCATCTTGTCCCTTTCTCCTTTTGTGTCAGACAGCTGCATTCCTGGTAGGGATAATATCCGCAAGAAGAGTGTGACACTCCTTATACAGAGTTCCCCAATGATAAAGTGACTTTACGACTACACCCAAAATTTTCAGTTTAATTTGAACGAGGTAGTATATTTACCTGTATTCTTTCTTCAGCCGCGTTCCTCTCCGGGAGAGCAGCGTCTCCATATGTTAGATGTTGGGCGATGTCTAGCTTTCTATCTGGACAGGACTAAATTGTTTCACGATTTGCCTTGCCTGTTTGTCATATGAAGTTTGTATGACGGGGCAAGTGGTTTCTTCATAGACAGTCTCTAAATGGATAATGTCCTGTATCAAGACTGCATATGAAATAGCTTTGGCTAAGCCTCCTTAACCGGTGTGAGCTCATTCTACAAGAGCTTGAGGAATGTTAATAGCATTCCTCATTGACATCTCAGTACTCTACATTTGCAGGGCTGCTATGTGTTCGTTCCATACATGCATTAACGAATCATTATACCATTACTGCAGCTTCCAGGGTTGGATACAAGCTTTCCTAGGCAGTCCTGCAATCCTTGTTTAGGTAGACTCCAAGCCATGCCTCCTGCGGTGGGTATTGCTTGTGAGTCACCTAAGTGGAATACACTACTTACTGTAACTGTGGTTCTTTGAGACACAATGTAAGTGGGTATTTCACAACCCAGCATCCATCCCCTCTGCATCGAGTATTGACTCTGGGTGTTAGGTGCAAAGGAACTTAAGGGGGTCAGGTCAGCGCCACCTCATATAGCCAGATGAAGGGCTATGGCCATGGGGTGTGAGCACCATCCCTCTTTGGGCACTGCTAGACAAAGTTATCTGGCTCTGGCATCCTGAGCATCCACACATCTAAGTGGAATACACATCTCCATCACACCTTGAAGAACCACAGTTACAGTAAATTACCATTTGTTACATTACTTTTAGACTCCAAATGCTATTTGGCAAAGGATTTAACTTCCACTTCTAAAAAATAGAACAGATTTAAACCAATGTGTTCCCTTTATCCTGAGTCACAAGAAGCCCTGTCTAGCAGGGGCCTGTCTGCTTAAAAAAAAAAAGCATATGGTACTCTCCCTATTTTCCATTGCTTGGTTCAGGACAATAACCCAAATTCCAAGAGGTACATAGTTTGGATTTCAGGTAAAGTTTTTACTACAGTTTTTTACAGGGTTAAGTATAATCTTGTTCCTTCAATACCACCATGATAGGCAGCTTGTATATATTCAGGAAGAATTCACACATGAGAAACCAATTCAAGAATTCTTCAGTTCAGTCTTTGATCTGTTTGGTTTCTAACATTATGGGATTCTCATGCAGTTGATATTCTTGAAAGCACTTGCTCTTAATGACCTGCTGAAGAAGAATATGAAACATCTACACATTTCAAGATGCATATAATGTAGGCATTTACTAATGTAGGCATTTGTCTGTATTATTTACTAAATAATACAGATAACTTTGTCTGGAATTCTCTGGCATTTCCAGGATCCTAAGATTATATACCTTGTACTTTCAGACTTGTCCATTTATGCTAAATTGTACTTCTGTCCTTGCAAAGAGCCCTGATTGTAGTGTCTCATATTATTAATTTAACATTGCTAAATAGTGAATTTTTTCCCCACAGTATTCAAAATTGCTTTAAAAGTTCTCCTATATGTCTTTTCTTGTGAGTTTACTGTTTTGAACCAATTCTCTTATGGATGAGGACCATACTTCAGTTAAGGTTTTGCTTTAAAAAAAAACAACAAACATACATCACCTCTCCCTCCAGCAACGTGCACATTGCAGGCTTAAATCTTAAACTGAAATGGCCCTGCCATCTTGGGCTGTGGAGTGAAGCCTGAATTTATGACTCTTGTCCCAGAGCTAGTAAATGTTGGCATTTTATCATTCTGCCATTGTGCTGTGTGATGCAGGAGGGGAAACAAGGAGCAAGAACAATCTGCTGTTACCTGTGACTGGACGCTTTCTTATCACTGAAGTTGATCTTGGCAGAGCTATTCACTTGCATATGACTACCTCCTCTGGTCCCTATTTTTGACCACTTGATAAAACGCCAGGAAGAGACTAAAAAATTGTGCTTTTTAGAACACATTTTTATGTTCCTTTTCAGCAAGGCAAGAGTTTAGGCTGTTCTTTGTTTTTAATTTCACTTCCTGTCTGGAAGCCATAGTCAGATTTACAAGCATGAGATGTTAGGGAATTGAATCTCTTTTGTAGTTAAAATCCATATACAGTCAAAATCACTTTATCCAGTTTTAAAGGATGTTTGTGAGTGCTGATATGTAACAAACTATACATTCGATCTATCTAGAATGGTGCTTCTCGAAGCCTACGTGCTGCAGTTTGGAGGTTTGCTGAGCTTGCCCATCTAGTTCGACCTCAGAAGTGCAGGTAGGTGATTCACGTTTTTGGTATGTAGAAGCACTATCTGTCTACCATACACAAACATAAAACTGAAAAAGTAAATACAATGTCACTGGTGGCAGTGCTGCTTCATAATCCAAACGGACATGTTCATTTAATAAAGCTGTTGGCTGGGATTCAGTGGGATTCCTTTATGGTCCTTTGAAATTCTATATGTTGTGCATAATTCAGTGGTATCTATTTAGCTGTATTTTTACCAGAGAATATAATTTTTAAGGTAATTTATTGACAACCCCTCCAGCCTTATTGTGTTTCACTGCGTTAAATGTGTTAACTGAAAAAAATCTATGCAATATAGAGTCACACAAAATACTTGCATAGCGCTGTGCATCTAATCTCGAACTTTACAAAAATGATGATCCCCAGTTTTCAGATGAGGAATCCAAGTCACAGATATGAAATAATTACTTGCCCGAGGTTACCTAAGCCACACATGGCAGAGTTATAAACTGAGGACCCAAGTCTCCTGACTTCCTGTCTTTCTGTAACTGCTAGACCACACTGCTTTCCATTCTTACCTTGTGAGCATCTTTCTATAGTTATTTCTAATAACTATTTATTATTGTATAACCCAAAGATCCCATTAAGGATTGGGGCTTTTAGCAGTAATTGGGGCTTAGTAGGACTACCCTAGTTGTGAGCCTAACTGAGGGAAAGTGGATGGAAGCTTATGAAATAGTCCAATCTCTATAATAACAAATGTTGATGGGGGGGGGGGGAGTAACAAATCCAACTCAATCTGTTAAATAAAATTTGTTTAGAAAAATTTGTAAAGGTGAAAAACAGACTGACTTAATCTAAGCAAAAAGACTTAATCTAAACAAAAACTTAATCTGTGGGACTGGAAATTAATGTGCCAAAACTGGTGTGTTGGAAATTAGGCCTAATTGGTGGATATGTTAATGAAGGGATGGGTTATTACACCCATCACTTCCTTTTGGGGTCCTTAAACAAAGAGACTTTGTGAGGAAGATTGGTGCATGCAGACATTGCCTGGCGGAGAGAAGGGGAAGGCGCGAGCTTCATCATTCTGGCTGCCACCTCCACCATTTCCTGGGACCTTGGGATCTACCATGGAACTGTTGGGCCTTCATTGTCCTGATCCTAAAAGATGCCCTGACCAGACCGGGCCAGATTACATGGCCATCCCCATTGGCTCTGATTTAAATCCCAAACACCGTCAGAGATCTGAGACTTTGTCACCCTCTTGTGTGTCTTTTTCTTCCCAACCTTATTTCTTTCTCTTCCCTATCCCTCTTCTTTTGCCTTCTGTATAAGAGTCTGGCTTAGCTGGCCAAGACTGCATATTTTACAACACTGCTGTAAGCCTGTGACCGAAAAGACAAGCAATGTCTAAACAGCCCAATGCTGGTACAAGTTTGCCAGGTCTCAAAGTAGCTAATAAAATGATGTGCATGTGTTTCTCCAGCAGTGAGGTAGCTAGTAAAAGTGAACACCAGAGATGGAAGCAGTAGTATTTTTCTATCTCTGCTGGGTTTTTTTCCTCTTCCCTTTTGTGTGCATTTGTCTTGTTTTGTCTTACAAAACAAACAAACAAAAAACAGGATTGGACTTTAATAACCGTTCCAGCCCATTGGAACTTAGTCTCTAACTTAAGTCTCTTTTTTCTGGAAAGGACAGTTATTACCATCTTTGATACTATCGAAAGACTGTTAAAAAAGGTTTGTTCCTTATAAAAACTCTGTATAGCTAAAGAGAGAGGGAACAAGGGTTATGAAATGAAAGCCTTATTTAACCCTTTACATTTCAAATGCTTTAACTGTTTTTCTTTCTTTTCTATATCTTCAATGAAATGTTAAAAAAAAAAAAAATTAATGGAGTGTTTGCCATGGTACTAAGCAGGCAGAGGTCTCTGTATACCAAAATCTGAAGCTTGTATGAAACTATTTAATGTTGGACAGTAACAGTTACGTTAACACCTTTAACACTTTGATTGTATGTAGTCTATTGAAATTAATACAACACGCCGCATTGTGTTTTGCTCTATACAAACCCTCATGAAGACAGTGGTTCCTGCCCCAAAATTTTAGTTCATCGTTGTGTACTCTTTTTAATTCCTTCCACTTCTAATCACCATAATAGTGTATATGCTGGATTGCTGATATATTATATCTTTATGTATGTGTGTATATAGTATTGTTGTATAGCATTCCAAGATTTAATGGGGGGTGCATTAGAAAGAATGTATAAAATGCTTATGATTAGATAATACGTTATTTGCCGAAAGAATTCTTCTTCCTGTGCTATAACTAGGCCATACTTAGTCAACCTATTGCCCTGTGTAACACGAATAAGTAAGCGGCCTGAAGAATCGGTACAAGAGACACTGGCTGCAGCAATACCAAAAATCATGGCAGCATTTGGCAACTTTGCAAATGACAATGAAATCAAGGTACAGCTGTTTTAAACTATTAAGAAACATTTATATTACACATGAGAACATAGTTAATCAACCATTAATCAGATGTTACAGACGGCAGTGTAACAGCTACCAGATTTGAATTATTAAAACATGCATTATTTATATTTTCTTCTACCCCTTGGATTGTTGATAGTAAATTTTAAATCAAAATTATTTTTTGGGTGGATGGAGGGGAATAATTTTCTTGTTTGCTTGCTTACTGACTTCTGCCTGTCTTTAAGTAACTTTTATGATTTTTTATTTTTTGTAACCTTTTAGGTTTTATTGAAGGCTTTCATTTCTAATCTTAAATCCAGTTCTCCTACCATCCGTAGAACAGCAGCTGGATCAGCAGTGAGCATCTGTCAACACTCACGCAGAACACAATATTTTTATACCTGGTTACTGAATGTGCTTTTAGGTAAGTTTCAGGAAACTGCCAATTCTGTTTTTTCCAATATTACTCATGCCTTGAGGAAGTAGAAGCAATCTAAATTATAGTAATTCCTATGTTAGGTAGCTTTGCTTGCCAGCTTCTATCGTGCATGTTAGGTGTCACCAATGCTTGGTCTATGGTAGTGGTTCTCAGCTAGGGGTACACGTACCCCGGGGGTACGCAGAGGTATTCTAGGGAGTACATCAACTCATTTAGACAGTTACCTAGTTTTACAACAGACTACCTATAAAGCACCAACAAAGTCAGTACAAACTAAAATTTCATACAGACAATGACTTGTTTATACTGTGCTCTATATACTACGCACTGACATGCAAGTACAATATTTATATTCTAATCAATTTATTTTATAATTATATGGTAAAAATGAGAAAGTAAGCAATTTTTCAGTACTAGTATGTTTGTCAGTTTTTTATATTTTTATGACTGATTTTATAAGCAAGTAGTTTTTAAGTGAGGTGAAACTTGGGGAGTACACAAGACAAACCAGACTCCTGAAAGGGGTACAATAGTCTGGAAAGGTTGAGAACCACTGCTCTGTGGTATTGTCGCATTTAATCAACATAATGAACAATTAGGTCTGTCCCAATTTTTGCCTTTTGTTAAGGAGACTTTACCGATACATAATGCCATATTTCTGTGGTACTTAACACCTCTTCCCAAATCAGATAAATGCTATATCAAAACTATGGATAGATAATCTAGAAGCATAGATTAATGAAAAAGCATAGTCCACAAAATAAAATGAGACAGCATTGCTACTTAAAACGTGTATATAATGAAAAAAGAAAAGTTGGAATAATCCAGTAAATCAGAACTTCCAGTGTGCTTGGAGGATCAACAGTTTCATTAGTCTGTTAACTATGAAAATGTCCTTCTAATTCTAGTTCTGTTAATGGAATAAGCATGTGGATTTATTGCTAAAAGAATAAGACTTGGCAATGAAATAGTTGTATTTTTAAACTTTTATCAAGAGTTAGAAAAAACTGAAATCAAATCAATGTTATGATTATTTCAATGTTTAGGCTGGGCAAGATGGACACTGCCCAGTGCAGGTGTCAAGTGACTATTCTCTAAAGTTGAAAGATAATAGTCAAAGAAGGGGAGCATGCAATTGGGGCATTGGGAAGGGTCGTTCTGGGATCGTTCCTAGATCTCTTCTCCATTTGGGAGCTATAGAAGAGGTTCACCCTTTCCACCAAGTGAAGGGTTTCTGTTGATATTACGTTCTGATTCCAAAGAGAAAAGGAGATCTCAGACCCCTCCTAGACTTGCAACATTTGGCCTCTGTCATCCCCTCCGAGGATCCAGGCAACTGGTACACTGCTCTCGACATGAAGGATGCATATTTTCATGTCGCTATACATCAGAGCCATAGAAGATTCCCAAGATTTCTGGTCAGCAACACCCATTATCAGTTTGTGGTCCTATCCTTCAGTGGGCGTGTATGCAAAATACATGGTGGCCGTAGCTGCATTCCTAATTAAAACACGGATGCAAATATTTCCGTCCCTGGACGATTGGCTGATATGAGGTCTGGTCAAGCTCCAAGCAGAAGTCATTCTATCCTGGATCTGTCCCTTTTCAGTGTTCTGGTCTGTTGATCAATGGGGACAAGTCAGTACTCTCCCCAGCGCAGAGAACAGAATTTATAGGGGGGATTCTGACTTCTATAGTTGCCAGAGCATTTCTGCCTGAAGCCAGATTCCGGACAATGTTAAACATTTCCATAGATCTGAAAGCCCATCCACTTACAACAGTAAGAAATTGCTTCAGACTACTGGGACACATGGCCTCTTGCGTGTATGTGATTCGGCATGCCAGACTTTGTCTCAAAAAGTTGCAGGCCTGGTTCAAGTTGGTTTACTCCTCCATCACTCGTTGGACGTGCTGATTCAAGTACTAGCCGCCTTGGACTGGTGGTAGATGGATCTGGCCAACGTACGTAATGGGAATTTCCTTTACCCATATTGACTCTGCTTACAGATACTTCCTCTCTAGGTTGTGGAGCTCACCTACCACACTACCAACTCAAGCTGTGTGTTCTCAACAAGATTTGACCTTCCACATAAACATGAAGGAGTTGTGGGGTATTGATCTGGTTTATTGATCTTTACTCCTTCAGATGAAGGGAGAGAATCTACAAGTCCTCATGGACAACGTTGTGGCAATATTCTATATGAATGGGCAGGGAGGGTTCAGATCAGATTGTCTCTGTGAAGAGGCGTTGTATCTGAGTTTTGTATTGCCAATGCAGTACATCTCAAAGCCTCCTGGGAGTTCAGTAAGCAGATTGTTCAACAGAGATCACAAGCAGACTCTCAAGCTGAATGTGGTGAGATTAATTTTTCAAACTTGGGGGGATCTCTCACATAGACCTATTTGCTACTCTTCCTAAAAGAATGTAGTAGGTCTTTTGTTCCAGGGCAGCGCACAGTCAGGGATCTCTGATAGATGCTTTCCTACTGTCTTGGAACGGCAATGTGATGTATGCCTAACCTTCCATTCCGCTCCTTCCCAGGGTGTTGCTCAAGCAGGATCATGCTTGTATGATCCTGATAGCCCTGGTGTGGCCACACCAGTGTTGTTTCTCCAGTTTGCTGAGTCTCTTGGCAGGGCTCCTTTGACACTACCTCCAGAACTGTACCTGATCTCCCAAGACTGCGACCTGCTACATCCCAACCTGGCTGCTCTTCATCTCATGGCCTGGATGCTCCATGTTTAATGCCTTAGGAAGCAGAGTGTTCAAGGAAATGAACAAAAAATTCTCCTGAATATCAGAAAGCTACCCACTAGATATACTTACCTGTTAAAGTGAAAATGATTCTCCTTATGGTCAAAACAGACAGGTGTTTCACTAATCCTAGGAAAAAGAAAAGGAGTACTTGTGGCACCTTAGAGACTAACCAATTTATTTGAGCATAAGCTTTCGTGAGCTACAGCTCACTTCATTTCAGATAAATTGGTTAGTCTCTAAGGTGCCACAAGCACTCCTTTTCTTTTTGCAAATACAGACTAATCCTAGGCTCTCTCCAACGTATTTTGGATTAGTTGTTCACCGAAAACGAGGCCTATCAGTTAGTTCCATCAGGGTTTACCTGGCAGCTGTCTCTGCTTTCTACCCTCCAAATGTGAGCTGTTTCATATTTTCTGGTCCGATGTCAGATTCTTAAAGGGTCTGGACAGGTTATATCCCCATGTCATAGATCCCTTCCCTCTCTGGGTCTTAAATCTGGTGCCAGAAAGGGTGATGGGATTGCCCTTTGAACTGGTTGCTGCCTGCTCTTCGCTGCATCTCTCTAAGAAAGTAGCATTTTTGATAGCTATTACCTCAGCGAGAAGGGTGGTGGAGTTATGAGTGCTGGGAGCTGACCCTCCTTATGTATTTTTTTTATACATTTGTGTCTGCACCTCAAATTCCTGACTAAGGTAGTATCAGAATTCCACCTCAGCCAGGGCATATAATTACCAGTGTTCATAAGGATGAAGCGAGGCTCCATACCTTGGATATTAGAAGGGCCATTGGCCTTTTATGTGGACAGGACTAGATCTTTTATGTTGTCATCCCAGCTGTTCATCATAGTTGCAGATAGGATGAAAAGCCTTTCAATCTTGACGCAGAAGATTTCATCCACGATTTTTTCCTGCATACGTCTATGCTATGAAATTGCCAATATACCTCTCTTTGCCAGGGTGGTAGCTCTGCAAGAGGTCAGGCAGCTACCACAGCTTTTTTTGTGGGGAAGGGGCGGGGGCTCAAATACCCATTGCAGACATTTTGTAGAGCTGCAGCTTGGTCATTGGTACATACAGCATAAGTAGCAGTAGAAGTATCTTAGCTTTCCAGAGTTGTAGCAAGTTTGAACAAATAGCTCTTCAGTCCTTGTTCAAGTAGACTCCGAATCCCAGCTCCCAGTTTGAACTGCTTGTGATTCACCTGAAGTGGAATGGACATGTGCAATCACTTGAAGAAAAATACCTTTTCTGTAACAGTTGTTCTTAAAGATGTTGCACATGTCCATTCCATGGTCTGCTCTCCTTCCTCTGTATGGAATCTGGTGCTAAGAAACTGAGTGGGGTCTGGTACGACTCCGACTTTTGTACCATGGTGCAGCAGCAGAAGACAGCAGATGCTGCCTGTGCTGCCCCAGTTGGTACCGCCAAGGGAAACATCTCTGACTCGGGTGCACACATTCCTGAAGTGGAATGGACATGTGCAACACATCTTGAAGAACAATTACAGAGCAGGTTAGTAAACCTTTTTAGTTCTCTACTACTCTTGCTTTTTTAGTGACACTTCTGCCATAGTATTTTTTGGGGGTAAGTAAAAGAACTGATGATGATGTCTTGAGTTAATGCATAGTACTTGTACTACCAGTAAGACAAGAGTCATGATAACTTGTTTGCAGGTTTGTTGGTTCCTGTGGAAGATGAACACCCTACTCTTTTAATTCTTGGAGTACTGCTCACACTAAGGTATCTAATGCCATTACTGCAGCAGCAAGTAAAGGATACCAGCCTGAAAGGCAGTTTTGGTGTAACACGAAAAGAAACAGAGATTTCACCTTCTCCAGATCAACTTATACAGGTGAGAGTTGAATGGTAACTCTTTCAAAGTACTAATTGGCTTGTGAACCAGCAAAAATCCTTGTAATGTACAGTATAATGGATTTCTCATATTTGTTAACTATTTTAGTTCTGAGTTGGGAGGGGTTCAGAGTTCACTTTTTGTCAGTATTATTCATTATTTGATTATATGTTTGCCCAGTGACTGGCAAAATATAAATATCACTGCAAAGCAAAGTGCAATGGCAATATTATGGATTAGTAGTCCTGCAGGAGCAAAGGACCATCACAAACTGCCACCTTCCGCTTCAAGTGCAAAGCACACTTATTTGACTTGCCTTCTCTAATATAGCAGTGTGTACCTTTTTAAAAATAAAAATCCTACCAAAACAAAACACACTGCCCACAGAGTTTTCTCTGTGGGGAGAGGATGAGAGAAAACAAACTGCATGTGACAGATGTTAGTCACGTCACTTAGTGCACTACTGAAAGTTGCTTAGAACCTGTGGCTGCAAGGGTGGTATAAGCCTATTTAGAAAAGGAGATAGTTATAAATATTTACTGCTAAGGATTCTTTGATTTATAGGTCTATGAATTGACTTTGCATTACACTCAGCACCAGGACCACAATGTTGTGACTGGAGCTTTAGAACTATTACAGCAACTTTTTAGAACACCACCGCCTGATCTTCTTCATGCCCTGACCACTTCAGGAGGCATTACACAGGTCAGTGTATCCAAAGACGAGTCTGTCAGCAGAAGCCGCAGTGGAAGCATAGTGGAGCTTCTAGGTAAGCAATATTTTTGGCGTTTTAGCTGAGAGATCAGCACACACTTTGCAGGCTCTTTAAATTCCTTAGTTAGCCAAAATGATTAAAAAAAATGTGTGTTTAAAACCTGTGTGTGGAAATGTCAGGCTTTTTCAGAAGCAAGTGTGCAGATTCTTTATGCATATAGAGGAAATTGGAAAAGATTGGAGTTTGGGACAATATTCTTAATATAAATATCTTAGTACAGTCTTATGTTTTGTACTTGTATCTCCTTTCGTTTAACCAAAAGTTGTAAGACCACCATTCTAATTGATAACTTTATGAGAAAATTAATACCCTTCTTACCAATCTTTTGACCAGGCAGTGGTGCGTGGAAAGCTGATCTAATAAAAATGTACATTAACTATGAAAGCTCATTGCCAATTGTCTAGTTTATGACCAACAATTATCATAAATTCTCAGTGTAACTATTAAGCTTGTCTATAATTTTCTTTAGGTTTTGATGCTCTTGTCTATGACGTACATGTTCTTATAAATAAAATATTGTCTTAACTCTTTAAATTTCTGAAATGAAAATCTTCTTTTCCTATTGGATTTTTTAAAAAAACTTCACTTTTATGGTGAACTCATTTTTTTATATTAGACGGAAGAATGAATATTCCAATCGCTCTGATTTACAAGTTTGTTGCTAATAGATAGTAATTCAGCAGCCAGGCAAAAAAAGACCACGACGCTGCAATGGTAAATGAATAGTATATTTTTAAAAGTGAAAAACTTCAGTTGAGTTCTCCCCTTCCCCCCCCAGAGTGCAAAGAAGTGTCTGAGCACAACATTTTAGAGCTGCTCTACCTGACAAGGATTGAAACCTTAAAGGAAACACATTTTTCTGTTTAATTTCTAATCTTTGTCTAATGGCCTTATGAGGCTGTTAGAATTCCTTCTTAATTTTAGCAGCTCTGTTCTTTTCCCTGATTTTGTTACTTTGTGATTTGCAGCTAGAGGGGGGTCTTCGTGCAGCCCTGTTCTGTCAAGAAAACTAAAAGGTGACTATCTTCAGAATCACAATTGCTTAATCACATTATTTTCTGATTTTTCACTTGATTGTCTTGCTAAATTTTGATTTCCATTCACTAATGCGTTCCTCTTTGCAACTGGGATTGAAGAGTATAAATCTAATTTTTGTCAGAGTTTGACATTACAACCAAGATACAGTGAAGTAATTCAAAAAGCAGAAACGTTATTACTATTTTTTTCTTTGCTTTGCTGACAGAATTATCCTGATCATTACTGATGCAGCTTTCACTTTTTCAGCACCATTTCTAAAAATTAATCTCTGAACAGAGCCCGGTTACCTTTTTTTACAACAATATTTGACCTGTAATGAAACAAACACAACAGTTAAGAGACAAATTGGAAAATTATGCTTTTTGATCTTTCTCACTGTTTCATTCCTTCACTAATGCATGTGTATGTCTTGCATGTTTTAAAATGCCACTTGTGGTCTGATCTGATTTGTCTGTCCTGTGATGACTAACACTGCTCACTTATGACTTAAAATGCCACTATCATTTTGATTTTTTTCTCTGTCACTGAGGTTTGTCAAAATCTTAGTTTGAGCTCTCATCCTTAAACATTCTGTGCACGGTTTGACCATAATAACGTACTTCGTGTTTAGTCATACTTGTGTAGCTTTCTAAAGAAGCTCGATAGCAGGAATGGAGCCATTATAAACCCCACCCTAGGTCAGGATTCACTAGTTCTGACTCCTGCTGTGCCTGTGCAAAATCCCATTGGCTTCTGTGGCATTCTGTGTGGGAACAGGGGTCTGTGCTAGTGAATTCCAGTATAGGATTTGGGGTAGAGAAGGCAGTATAAGGGAGAAAAATACCTTTATTTGGATTAACAGTTTAGAAGTAGAATGGGGATTCAACAAGCATGTGTTGCCTCTACAGCAATTAGGACCTCTACAGCACCTAATTTACATTGTTCCAAATATGCTCTTTTCCCCCTCTAATTGGTGATTTTGTGTGTTTGAAAATAAATAAAAAATAAATTAGCCTTGACCTCAGTGTGATAAGAAAGTAGCTTAATGTGATTAAACTCTGATACTGCTGAATGAGGTGGATGTTTGCGAGCTACAGCGATAGGTCTATATAAGACTCTTTTTAGGAAAGATAAAGGAAGAGATCGTGTTGATAAAGTAGAACCTATTTCTATATGAATCTGGAAGCCAGTTTACTATGCAATAAAATAAGTGAACACCACGTTGCACTATATACTAATAAAGGTATAATCTTTGTTTTTCATGTTTGGTTTAAATGTTTTGAATATAGCAGTAGGTCTTTAATAAAATACGTTTATACGTTACTAATAATTATAGATTAAACAGTCGTTAAATTCAGAAACATTAAACTCTCTACAATTAATGAACGAATATAATCCTCATTTGATAAAACGTTTTCACAGCTTGTATCATTGCTTAATGTCATGGTCCTGCCTGTTAGATGATCGTGAAATGAGAGCTGATATTGTAGTTTACATGTAGTTGCATGTGGCAAATTTTGAGGTCTGAAGGGACCATTGTGATCATCTAGTCTGGGGCCTGCAATGTGCAGGACATCAGAACCTTAGCCACCCACTCCTGAAATAGATCCCTGACCTCTAGCTGAGTTACTAAAGTCCTCAAATCATGCTTAAAGACTTCAATTTACAGAGAATTCACCATTTACCATAGTTTAAACCTGCAAATGACCCATGCCCCCATACTGCAGAGGAAAGCAAAACCCCCCAGGGTTTCTGCCAGTCTGTCCCAGGGGGAAATTCCTTCCTGACTGCAAATATGGCAGTCAGACCCTGAGCACGTGGGCAAGATCAACCAGGCAGATACCTGAGAGAGAATTCTCTGTAGTAACTCAGAGCTCTCCCCATCTAGTGTCCCGTCTCCAGCCACTGGAGAGTTTTGCTACTGGCAGTTGCCAATGGGCCGCATGCCATTATAGGCAGTCCCATCACACCTTCCCCTCCATAAGCTTATCAAGCTCATTCTTGAAGCCAGTTAGGTTTTTTGCCCCCACTGTTTCCCTTGGAAGGCTGTTCCAGAACTTCACTCCTCTGTTGGTTAGGAACCTTCACATAATTTCGAGCCTAATCTTGTTGATGGTCATTTGTTCTTGTGTCCACATTGAGGCTTAACTTAAATAACTCCTCTCCTTCCCTGTTGTTTATCCCTCTGATGTGTATATATAGAGAGAGATAATATCTCCCCTAAGCCTTCTTTTGGTTAGGCTAAACAAGCCAAGGGTTGAACTACGGTTATTGTAGTATCCTAACTGAATTTCTTTACTTATGCATGTTTTAATCCCATACTTCATGTTTATTCCTGCATTTTTCAGTATAAATGAATAGCATATTCAGTGTAATTATCCCAGTTCTTCCTATGAATTTCAAAGATGCATTCCTCTTTTAGAGAAGACTTTAAAAGTTAGCAGAAGTAGATAGTTGCATTGAAGTGGATTTCAAATTTTGCCATTTACTGGCATATAGAGCATTGGGGTTCTTCTCTTTCTGCTGGGAGTGGGGCTATTGGACTTCTAATATGCTCCCCATGGGTCAGTGGGTGGAGAGGTGAGGAAAGGGAGGGAGAAACACAGCAGCATTTGATTCCACTCCCAGCACTCTGTAATATCCTGTACTCACCCTGAAGCAATAGCACCAAGAATCTGGTTTTAGCTTTGGTTCATGTTTGGGCTATATTTTGAAGGCTGTCTTGTCAACCATAAGACTGAAAGACATATTTTCTAAATGAATGCTTACATATTGGACCACAACTGTACAGCATCTTAAAAACAAAAGGGCAATTATCTGGTCATTTACATGGCCACATAATCATATTATACAAAGGGTCCTGAACAGAGCTAAAGTTGACATCAGCTTTTGTTCATAACCTACTTTGCACTTAATCTTAAAGGTTACCTTCTTGGGAAACTGAAAACTGTTCTTTTTGGTTTCTTTAAAATGTCTAAATGCATGAAAGATTGGAAAATGAAATATCGTCTTCCCTAGTTTTGGTGGAGGAAATTCTAGTAGGAGTTTTCTCATCTCTTCATGGGTATAGGTGCGTGTATGTATGATTTATCATTGATAGTGTGACTGGCCTGCACACAAAGTACAGCGTCTGTCCTGAGGACCTTGAAAATCCAGAAAGTGTGGATTATAAAAAATGCGAGGAAGCTTGGAGCAGTGGGCAAATTAGTAGCATCCTACTTGTAGTATCAGAGAAGTAGTGGTTTTTAGGAAGGATTTGAATGAGGAGAAAGTGTTGAATCTTTCCAGGAAAGTGTTTATTTTCCTAGTTTGTCCAGGTTTGAATTAAATAAGTGTTACAATTTTTGGATTGTAAAATTTTTTTTTCCAGAAAAACCCACTCTCTTGGTAGTTCGGTCTTCACTTATCTGTTTTGAGATCATCCCACTATTCCATTTTTTGCTAGCGGATTGGAGAATTCAAGACTTTACATTTCAGTTGTAAAAACCAAGCCAAAAATTACCATTCCTTTATCCATCAAGGAGAAATAAAAAGGGCAAAAACCCACTTATTTTCCCTTTGTTGGTCACCTTTAATGATCACATACTGAGTCTTCTATGCTTGAGGTTCAGAACAAAGTATGACCTTAAGTATACTCAACCATTTTCAGCATGATTTAAACTACCTGTAACTTATATCACTTAATTATTTTAAAAAAATATGTTCTTATGCTTTTACAGCGTAAAAAATAAAAAAGAGAAGCCTAAACATTTGTTGTAGAATAGATTTTTTTAGTTGTCTTTTTTTTTTGCATTATTTTTCCTGAGTACTGTAGAATTGCACAATTCCATAATGCCACAACTACATTTTTCCTTATAGTGCTCTGCATAAAGACAATTCTGCAACTCTGTATTATCAGAGCTGTGTTTCATTTTTTTTCTTCACATGAAAAATACAAAACCAAGAATGTTAAATGCAAATGTCTGTGTTGATGCAGCCTTGTGGCTGCATCATAAAAGAAAACAAAATTGGAAATGCAAAACAGAATTCTCTGCCACACATTTTGGATTACTGGTTAGTCTTTCTAAATATGTAGTTTAGTTTACTGTATAGTGTCACATAAGCTGCTAATACCATTATCACAATAACTCTTTTGTTTCCTGGATCTTTTTAAATGTTTTATCTTATTGTATTAGGTGGGGTTTTGCATCTTTATGTAACCTATACACACTTTTTTTTTAAAAGCCCTGGTTGAGCACCCCATTATGGGATTTATTAGGCTGCTTTATTAAACTCAGACTTTGCATCCCCCACATGCTTTTGAATTTACTGAGTGTGAGCAGCATCCAGCCATGGACTTGCTCTGGCCTTTCAGGCTCACTCCTGGGGTGCAGACTGCAATGCTGGTACCCCTTCTCGGGATGTGGAGCCCAGCAGCTGAACTCGCCTCGATCCCAAGACTAGTGTGGACATCCCAAGTCTCACCAGGAGCTCATGCATGCCTTCTTCAGAGCTCCATCCTCGTGGGTACTCTGGATTACTGTTTCACCCTTTGGGGATTTTGTGACAATTAAAACCAGTAACACACAGACTTTGCAAACACACTTCTAAACCACACACACTTCCTTGGCCAGGTCTATATTTTGACTGCTTTGCTGGTATATCTATATTGGTACGTGTATGCTGGCAGAAGGCTCCTAGTGTGGATGCAAGTTGTACCAGCAAAACTGTGCTTTTACTGGAATAACTGCATCTACATGAGAGGCTTTTGGTGAGACAGCTGTCAGTCGGGGATCACACCTCTTTACACCCCTGACTGACAGAGCTATGCTGGCAAAAGTCTGTAGTGTAGACCTGGCCATAGACAAAGCATACGGGATATACAGATCTATGAAAAAATATCAAACACCTGCATGTGAAACCCTCCTCCTTTTTCTCAGCCCTTCTGAGAGCCCTTCGGGTCTTAATCAACATCTTCCAGCAAGTCCAGAATTCTCCAGCCCTTCTACTCCTGCCCAGTCTTGTCTTCTAGTTTTGATATGCTACCTCCTTGTTAGAGAGTTTCCCTTTTAACAACAGAATCCAGTACTCTTCCTGTCCTTTCCTTGGAGTATTTCCACTCTGTAATTCTTTATGGCCTGCTGTCTCCAACCCTCAGTCTTTGTTACTGGGGATAAGAGACATTTGGAAGCCAAACATTTGTGGCTGGTAGAATTTAATACCCTGATAAGGCAAGGTTATTGCAATGCTCATGGTCCTTAATGTCTGCTCTATTCAGGGGAGACACCCAGACCTTCTCCCTTTAAAACAAGAGGATTGATGCAGGGATACAATGAAAGCTATCAGTAAGGGTTTAAACATACAGGGAATTCATAAAAGACTGGAATTCATAAGTTCACATAAACAGATCCCCAAATTGTCACAAAATAATCAGCTTTCGTTTTGTCCTTTTGTCATTGTCCACTTCTCTCCTGACTACATAGTAAGATGCTGTCTGCTCTTTCTCTTATTCATTTTCCCAATATTCATTATTTTATAATAACTTGGATATTTTTTCAGTGTAATGATAGATAATTTACTTCAAAAAGGGTAGAAATCAGACACTTTTCATGTGTGCAGTGTTGTAGCCGTGTTGGTTCCGGGATATTCAACAAGGTGAGTGAGGTAATATCTTTAATTGGATCAACTTCTGTTGATGAGAGAGAAGCTTTTGAACTTAAACGGAGCTCTTCTTCAGGTCTGGGAAATGTACTCAAGAGTGTCACACCTAAATACAAGATGGAACAGATTGTTTAGCTCTGTGATACTCTTGAGTACGTTTCCCAGCCCTGAAGAAGAGCTTTGTGTTGCTTGAAAGCTTGTCTCTCTTGCCAACAGAAGTTGGTCCAATAATATTACCTAACCTACCTTGTCTCTTTTTTTAAAAAAAAGAATTTAGACTGTTTCCAGGGCATAGGATAGCATTTTTAGCGAACTTAAAAATTCCATTGCTGCATCATTTATCAGGTAAAATACTTTTCGGCGAAGAAGAAGGCTTGGAGGATGACCCTGAAACGCGGTCAGAAGTCAGCACTGCAACTTTTGCAGGTAGGACTGCATTCTTTTTAGCACTTCTGCCTTTCTATAATCTGTTCACCTTGAATAGCAAATAAGTGTCTGTTCTTAAAATATGATCGACTAAAAATGGAATAGCCCAACGCTACATACAGTTATATTTTACCATCACCTTTACCTTTACGATTTATCCTTTGTTGGTTTATGAAGTGTGGAGATTGTTAAAAATTTAATTCAACTGTGATTATGGAATTTACATAGTTGAGGATTAAAGGGGAAACAACATAAAAGGTGTTTAATGTGGCATCATGTTTTTAAAAGAATCATTATTTCAAAACTTAATTTAAAGGGATAAAAATGAATTTAAAATCTAAAAAGAGTTGAAAGTAGTTTTAAGTACTACACGTTCCTGAGTAGTCCTGCCAATCTTTCTCTTTACAATTATATTTTTCCTATTTTAACAAAATGTTTCTATTCATTATTGTTGTGTTGAAATACCTGAAAATGAGAAAAAGACTGCCTATACACAGTGTGCTGTGAAATACACTAAGTAAACAAATTGAAATCTATAGAATTTTTTTATCATCTTTCTGTCTTGGTAATCTTTGTGTTTCTTGTGACAGTAAGTAAATAAGCTTTCACAAGGTGTTTTTATCACACAATTTCCCTTTAAAATATCTGCCTACCTTCTCATCTTCCTCATTCTAGTTTTTTGCAACAGTTTCTTGTTGTTATTTTAAAATGTTGTTTTTAAAGTGCTGTTAGCAATCATCGTAACAGAAGATGAACAAATAATATTTTGTTTAAAATAGAAGATGCGTACTGTTCAGAAACTCAGACTCATGTCCAAATTTGCATATATTTTCTTCCTGAACTTTAAAACCCTGCTTCTGGCATCTTTAACCCAGAGTTAAAAAAGATGGTTCTTGGACTGCAGTGTTCAAATCCAAAAGGACTAAATATGGGCCTTGAGGTGCTGGTTATACAGCCTTCATAGAAGAAGCAATGAAAAGTTAAAAAGGCTGTACTATACTTAAATGGCTTACAGGCATTTATCTCCCTAGCAATATTTTATTGCTTCATTCACTGCTTCCTTCTAAATCTTTTCCCTTAATCCAGTTTTATATCGGGATGCAAAACTGAATTTGATTATTTTATTTTTCTTTGGTGTTCTAATCTTTTCCTTAAAGTGTATACAGATAATATTTTCTTGATAGATGACTTTGGATCACTAATTGCTTTTTGTTTCAGCCTCTATGAAGAGTGAGATAACCAGTGAATTAGCTTCTTCATCAGGAGTATCAACAGCTGGATCAAGTTCTGCAGCTGATCCCACAGGACATGACATCATCACTGAGCAGCCACGTTCACAACATACTTTGCAATCAGACTCTGTAGACGTGACCAGTTGTGATTTGGCCAGCACAACTACTGAAGGGGAAGAGGATGACATGCTTAGTCGGAGCTCCAGCCAAATCAGCACTGTCCAGTCAGACCCCACTATGGACATGAATGATGGCACGCAGGCTTCTTCACCAGTTAGTGATAGCTCTCAGACTACCACAGAAGGTCCAGATTCAGCTGTGACCCCTTCGGACAGTTCTGAAATTGTAAGTGTGCAACGGGCAGAGCGGGTATCCCAGTCTTCTACTGAGGGGCCCGACATATCTCAGAGCTCCTCCATGGAGGGCCCAGTCTTGGACACATCTACTTATTCATCTTCTGCTTTTCCGTCCTCAGTTAATAGCACTGAAAAGGTCAGCAGCTCATAGCTTTAACTGAGAGCTTGACCTCATTTTAACACTTTCACTGCAGCTTTAAAAAATGAATTGCTGTTTATAAAATGTGTTTGAACACAAGGCTTTAAACTTGACCTCTAAGTATTAAACACACTATAAAATTACTCTTCTCACTAAAAGAATGAAAATATTAATGGGTTTTCATGAGAAACTTTCTAAATATTACATGCTTCTTTTTTAATAGTATGTTAACCCTTAAAACTAACTAAATTGTAAACCTTCAGTTTAAAAGGGCTAGTGAAAGTGTTAAAGGGTGAACCTTCCATTTGGAATAATAGATAATACCCCTCAAGTCTGAGTGTTTCAACCTCATGCTTTCATATTCTGTGGCTTATTGCCTGTGCTTTCTCCCTTGGAAATTGTTTTAATACCTCTTGTTATACCCTCTTGGAATTTCTCTTACACCTCTATCCCAATATAACGGTCCTCGGGAGCCAAAAAATCTTACCTCGTTATAGGTGAAACTGCATTATATCAAACTTGCTTTGGCCTCGAGCATTTCTGTTATTCATAGTCACTTCCCGCCCCCTGACCCCTCAGAACCCCAGACCCATCAAACCCCCCCCCGCTTCCTGTCCCCTGACTGCCCTAACCCCTATCCACACCCCCGACCCATGACAGGCCCCCCGGGATTCCCACGCCCTATTCAATGCCCCTGACCGCCCCGCCCCCAGAACTTCTGAACCATCCAACCCCCACTTGCTCCCTGTCCCCTGACCGTCCCCCGAGACCCTCTGCCCCTTATCCAACCCCTTGGCCCCGGCCCTGCACTCTTAACACACTGCTCAGAGCAGCATGTCGGAGCCAGACACGCTGACATGCTGATCCGCTGGAGTGCGCAGCCCCACCCCCCAGAGCACTGCTTTACCGCATTATATCCAAATTCGTGTTATATTGGGGTAGAGGTGTATATCGTTTGAACATTGCATAACTTCATATATACCACATATTGATGCTTTTATGCTTGCTTCAAGCATTTATTCAGTAGTGTACTCTACAGATATTTCAGCATGCCCGTCTCTTTTTGGTGAAGATGTCATGTAGTTGAAAAAGAACAGTTCAAAAGACACTAATGCTTTTTTTGGTTTTTGTTTTAAAAAAAGTTTTTTTCAATGGATTTGGCAAACGACACAATCAAATGCAGATATGTAGCATATCAACCCTCAATTCAGTCTTCCAAATGTGTTGTCAGTGCTTGACCTAAAAGCAGCTCTGTGAACTTATTGAAGATAAGTTGGGAAGAATAAATGACCTATTGAGTTATTTTTAAAAATGGTTATTTTACAAGTATGGCAAACAGGTACTCTTGCACAAAAGTGGGGTCAGACTGTGCAGGAGAGGAATGGTAATATTTTCTCAAACTCTGACCAGCATTTAAATGCTCATGATGCAAAAATGACCTGGTGTTCACAGTAGATAGTACAGATCTCGGTAATAGGATTGACCCTCTCCTTTCTTGGAAGCTCCTAGTAGTGAGATAGTTAACATTGTTGATGTTTAAGTGGTCATCCTCAAGCTTCAGAGTGAACACTATATTCAGAAGAATTGGAGAGTTCCCACTTCCCTTAAAGCTGTTGCTTCAGGCTGTCTGCATGTTTGGGCTAATATAACTGCATTGGTTTAGACTTGTTCAGATTTTGACAGTTATCTTTGCAATCATAAAGACTGGAGTCTTAAGCTTTTTTAAATTCATAAATATTAAGACCAGAAAGGACAATTAGGATCATAGTCTGACCTTCTGCATCACACAGGCCATAGACTCTCACCGAGTACTTTCTGCATCAAGCCTGTAATTTCTGTTTGAGCTATAGCATAGTTTTTAGAAAGATACCCAGTCTTGATTTACAACTTCAAGCGATGAAGAATACAAGATATCCCTAAGTAATTAAATAAAGTTTAAATTGTAAAGCCCAAGATTCCGCTTTAACGGAGAAGTACCAATTTGCTGAGCTGGATGATCACAGTTTACAAATACCCCCCCCCCCCCCCCCCCCCGGAGATGGGGTAAAGGAGTGGGGGGGAGGAGAGGGACACCCTGACATTAGCACCCTTCTCCCCTCGCTCTCCCTCCTGCGGCCCCTCCCTCCCCCCCTCAGCAAGCAGGAGGCTCCTGGGAACAGCTCCAAGGCAGAGAATAGGAGCAGCACACACAGTGTGCCGGAGGGATGGCTGAATTGCCTGGCAATTGATAGGCTGCTGCACAGGGAACTTAGGGGAGCAGGGAGCTGATGGGGGGTCCACCCTGTTTCCAAGCCCCCACCAACTACCTTCAGCTGGCTGCTCTTTCTGCAAGTAGTGGACAAAGCAGGTGGCTGCCAAACAACTTTATAAGGGAGCATTGCACAACTTTAAACGAGCATGTTCCCTAATTGATCAGCAATGTAACAACGAAACAATATTAACCGGGACGACGTTAAGTGAGGAGTTGCTGTACCTGCTTGGGAAATCCAGTACATACCATCTTCAGTGAGGTTTAGTGATGCTTAATACATATATAAATTGCCTCTGAAAGGCATCTTGTACTGTAAGTTGATAATTATTTAAACAATGAACTTGGAAATACCCAGAGGTCACCTGGTATTTAGCAAACAGGTTAAGAGTTAACCATTTTAGATGCAATCATAAATACTTGGGTAAATAGCTGATGTGTGCATTAAAATGCTTGAACTACAAATCATAACTAAGCAGCTCCAATTCAAACCCAGTGAAAATGACCTTTAATTAAATGGGCAATTGAGAGTGAAGAGCTTATAGTTGCAGATCACATTCAGTCTTGCAAATGATCATTATAACAATTATTAAGCTTTATTAAAATTGCATGAAAAATTAACTGGAATTTTTATGAAGCAAACAAATTGCTTAATATTCAGATCTTTAATTCAGTACATGTAAATTCATTCAGAACAGAATTTGATGATGGTATTGCAACAAATGTAACTGAAGTTAGAATTTGTCCTGGTGAATCTTATTGCGGTTTCCATTTGCTTTGGAAATCATGTTCAGTCATTATGGAACCCTACAATGCCATTTCTAGTCACTTTTATTGTAAAACCATAGTGTAAAATACAAATGCATTTTAAAAACCAGTGTTTGAAAGAGTTTTTATTTATCTGCCAAAACCTGAGTTCAGGGTTTGGAATCTTCTCTGCAACAGCTAATCAAAACACAGTTATCTAAAATCGTACTTCCGACATTGTCATAAGCTTTCCCCCGGGTAATGTGGAACACTGAACTTAAGTTTTGGCAGGTAAGCAAAAGAGAAACTGCTTCACAATTACTGTTCAAAAATATTTATTTTAAACACACATTAATGTAATGATTTGGCCTTTAAAATATTTTAATCTTTGTCTATTTGTATTATTTTATTATATAATATTTTGTATTTGTTTATTTTTAACCAATTTTTAACCATGGCAATAATAAAGCAGAGTATTAGTGTATAAATCTAAATCTCTTATAGGTTTAGACAAGTAAGGAGAGAAGTTAAACTAAACATATACACAATAGGATTTTGAAATCCAAATAAGTAGAGTGAAAATTCTGAAAGTGGTTATATCCTATATGATCAGGTGTGCCAGGCTTGCCTTTTTTGTGTTAAATTTGTTATCCTTTGGGCTATGGGCTTTTTCTGCCTGTTTTTGTTTGTGCAGCTTCCTGCCATTATGAAATCCAAGAATGCTATCTCTTCTTCTCTTGAAGATATGTCATTTTAATTTGGTATTTTGAAAGATATTTTAAATGCTTTCCGACTTAACTGTTCGTTTTTTTTTAAATTTATAGGCTGCTTTTTATTTGCATTGTATAGAGGATTGATGTCATAAAAACAGTGAAGGGTGTTTCTAGCTAGTTTGTTGTTGGAATGGGAGTTGAGGTGTCACTGCGTCTTTCTGCATGCTTATTTAATTTTTGTAAGTCTGGGATTTGCTGTATGCAGAAGAGGACCTTTTCAGGTCCTTTTAATATTTTAAAGAGAAATATTATTCAATGATAAAGATTTGTTCCATAATTATATGGTTGGATCTTAGACTTTCATAAATTAAAGACAAGAGACTGTCCATAGTCGTGTCCTGGCCAGTGCATGATAGGAATGTTAAAGGTAACTGACTCAATCAGCATACTGTTTGTGTATTTATTTGCATATCATAGTCTAAGCAGCTAAAATTTCTTGACAGCTTAATTGCTATCTTTCACTTTAATGATTTACATGGCATTTTGCAGCTAGGAAATTAACAGTTGCCTTCTGATAGTATAGCTGTGAAATGTTGTTTTGCTACCTTTTTGGTGGTGGTCTCTTTACATTTAATTAAATAAGCAGCAGGTCCATAACATTAGTGTCAGGGGTTGGATTTTTTAAAAAAAACTCATTTCCATTGGAATTTGAGTTAGAATGAAGGGATAAAATGAGAATGTCTTGAAGATGTCCAGGCTATGTTTTGTGGTGCCCAGTGGGATCACTGCTAGATTTCCATTATCCACATATTACATCTGAGGTCATTGGAGGGTTTGGCAGCTGGACTGTTCAGGTCAAGTTGAGGCCTTAAAAGGGGGTGGTGGAGGTTGATAACAGCTGGGATGGAGAGTCAGTTTGCGTCACACCAATGAGAAAGGCCCAAGCAGTACTACAGAGGCAGGGTCCAATCTAAATCAGGCCTGTGAGCTATCGAGATCACAATTGCATCTTGAAAAAATGAGGAATCTGAGAAGTGTGGGGCTAGCTCGTAGCTGCACGCTCATGCTAACATGCATGAGACTGACTTTGGCTTGGAACTAGTTCTGAATTACTAACATTGCATGCTTGTGCTCTGACTTGTGCACTCAAAGTTAGTCTACTCTAAAAGTCCACGTCTTGTTTATCTTAGGTTTTAGAGGGTACTGAAAGCCAGTATTCTGGAATGCAGATTGGACAGCTGCAAGATGAGGAAGATGAAGCTGCAAATGTTCTCCATGATGAATCCTCAGATCCTTTCAGAAATTCTTCCCTTGGTATGTTGATAAATAGGAAAAATCAACTACAAAAATAGTAGCATCTTTCATCTGATTTCCAGCAGGACTGATTACCTGTTTTATGTGTACCAGAAACAAATATAAGAACATTCTGATAAAAGTATAAGATGAATTTTCATATTTTACTTGTTCAAGTTTTAACTGTTTGGCAATAAACTTCAGTTAAAAGTCTGTGATTTGCATTTATGTTAATTTACATCTTAAATGTGCTATGTATTGCTTTTTTTCTGAAGCCCTTCAGCACCCACGCTTATTGAAAAACACGGGCCATAGCAGGCAGCCTTCTGACAGCAGTGTAGATAGATTCATGGCAAAAGAAGAAGCAGTAGAATCTGGTGATCATGAAAATAAGGTAAGACACATTCTCTCACTCGAGGTGGGTTTTTAAGTTAGGTGTGTGTTTGTTAAATTTTCAAAACAAGCATACATGAAACAGAACGAGTGGAATTCTGCATTATAAGCAGATAATTTGGTAATATGTACAATAGTTGGTATACTTTACCGTGTATGTCCCAGCTTAAAAAAAGTGCATTTCAGTCATCAACTTTCCAATTTGTAATTAAAACTTCCTAGATCACATAAATACACTATCTGGACAACTTACTTATACAAAAGATGGTATACTATTAGGCAAACATAAATAGACAAGTCATGCAATTAAGGGTGTTAAAACTGTAGAGAGAAAAAGAATTCCCCCTTGCTGTGTGCATGAAGAGTAGCAAAGAGGAGATGCTCAAATATCATTGAGCTGACCACCATCTGCGATGAACATATACAACGAAGAACTTCCAAGGAGTTCAAGTTGAATGCAATGAGTTTTATATGGAAAAAAAAATTAATCCCCAATACTGAAAAAGTATGCTAGATGCTTGGTCATACAGTTTAAGATAATAAAACAAATTTGGCAGCTTCCAGAAGGAAGTTAATCTTGAGCTGGGTTTCCATATTCTGTTTCCAGAAAGCATAACTTTGTAGTCGAAGGAGTCTCCTGGACAGTCTTTTGTCAAACAGCAAGTCTAGATAAATAACAATCTACCAGAACTGTCATATTATAGTTTTCATTGTGAAATAAGAACAATTCTAGTGCTGGTGGTGGCATCTTTGCAAAAATATTTGGTTTTAGGGTATTCTCATAGAAGATGTATTTAATGTGCCTCTGATTTATTACCAGGGATCCTAGTTTTTCGTGATAAAAAAACCAAAATTCTCTGATTAAACCCCTGCCTCCCATAAAATCCATGTTTTTCCACGTTTAAAATAAAATGCTGAACTTTAATTTCCATAGCCGTAATATAAATAGGTGTCAGTTGAACACAATGTTTAATGGATATAGTCACAATTTTTAAGCTGGCAGCCCAAGCCCTGCCCATTTCCCCGATTATGCTACTGTACATGATTCTATTTTTTTCAAAAAATATAAATTAAAGAATCTCTGTAAAAATGCAAATTCTGTGTTTTTTCCATGGCAAATAGATTTATAGGATCCTTGTTTATAACTTAATGTTTCTAAATTGTGTTCCCTTTTATGATTTTTTAATTTAAACGTAATCTTAAAAGCATACATAAAATCTGTGATTTGCTTTTTGTAACAGCCTTCCAGAATAAAGGGAGATATAGGTCACTACACAGATGGAAATTCTGCTCCTCTGGTTCACTGTGTTCGTCTCCTATCTGCTTCTTTTCTACTTACTGGGGAGAAAGGTGGTAAGTTGCTCTCAAAAACAGTGATGGCTTACTGTCTGCCTCAATATACAAAACAAAGTGTGATCACTTCATCTAGTTGTTTGACAGCTCTTCATCGGCTGAGTGTATTGTTTTTTCATGACAGGATTTTAAAGTATGACAGCAGCTTGTAAAGAGCTTTGAAAGGATTTCTAGCCTATTTCATAATTGCTGAACCTAGTTTTGACCTGCTTGTTCCTGGTAAAATTATTATATTACTGTAAACTTGCTAGTCAAATATTACGTTAAAAAAAAAAGTATTTTAAAGGATGTTTTAAATGGTAAAATAACCAGATAACTAACTTGTAACTCCTCCTTAAGACTGCAATTCTTGAATTGTAATCAGTGGGGAGCTGGCAGGTCACATGATGATGATGATGATGATGCCAGGTGCTCCTCCATTTTACTAGTGGTTTACATAGGTGTCTAGATTTTATATAGCATAGTTAAGCCTGGGATACTAGTAAAAGCAACTAGAAACAAGGAGGTGGAGCTTGCTTAGACTGCTGTTGCATAGGCGAAGGAAATGGATTTTTCTGTCTTGTACCAGAGCCATCAGCAGGAGTGGAACTGCCTGCTATCAGTGAAGCCACCCTCCTCCCCCCACCTTTGTTACTTGCTATACTACTGTCAGCTGTGTTCTCATAAGTTCTCTTATAAGCTTAGTGTGGAGACTGGAAGGGGAAGTCTTCAAGGAAAACCTAGGTTGTTCTGTTGTTCTAGGAGGTGGTGTTTATAATTTATAGCAACTCTCCTCACAAGATATCAAAGCACTCTAGAAATAAACAACTGGTTTATGCATCTGTGAAATCAGCATACTTACATCAAAAGAGTGATATGAGGCTGAAGTGATTCACCCAAAGTCACACACTGTCTTTGGCAAATCTAAGTACTATTTCCCAGGCTCTTGATTTCCATATCTTTGTACTTAAAAAAAACAAAACCCAGACCTTCCTCCTATGCTCTGCCTGGGAGGAACTGGTTCATGAGGGGTACCTTATTTTCATTTTGTTCTTGAGCATCCTATGGGACTCCCAGAAATAAGACCTAGCTCCTGTCCTGAAAAGCTTATAATCTAGTTGTGTCTATAAACATTAACGATTAAGGCTACGATTTAGTCATGGAAGTCACAGAATCTGTGACTTCCGAAGACCTCTGTGACTTCAGCCCTGGCGGCTGGGAGCTGCAGGGTCCAGCAGCCTCTCACAACAACAGGGAGCTGTGAGGTCCCCTGCCACCTAGGGCAGCGGTGCCCCCAAGCTCCCAGCTGCTGCAGGCAGGGAACATTCCCTGCAGCTCCCCGGCTGCCAGCGGCGGCATGCAGGACACCAGCAGCAGAATGGGGGACCCCTGCGGCTCCCTGGCGGCTTCTGCCGCTGATCATAGGGGGACCCCAGTGACTCCCCACCACTGTGGGGGTAGAGGGAACCCTGCAGCTCCCAGCTGCAGGTGGTGGTGTAGGGGCCTGGAGCTTCCAGCCACCTGGCATCTGCCCACCTCTTCTCATTTTATCATGGATATTTTTAGTAAAAGTCAGGGACAGGTCACAGGCTTCCATGAATTTTTCTTTATTGCACGTGACCTGTCTGTGATTTTTACTAAAAGTATCTGTGATAAAATCTTAGCCTTATTAATAATCACTAGTACCACTCTGCTCTCTGTCAGAACCTAAACCAATACCCCAGCATTATATGAGGGATGTTTTTAGAGGTGCCCTCTTTCAGATGAGATGTAGCGCACACAATTCCTGATCATTTGTGGATAGTAAAACCTCCATAGCACTTCTGCAAGGGTAGGAGAGTTTCTCAACCTCACTGTCCCAGTCACATTCCAATTTGGGTAAATAATTTCTGCACAGTGGAAATTCTCCTTACAGTTTCAATTGGATGTGGCTGTGTTAGACCTGAGTGACTGATTTGTTTTTCCTCGTTCTTGAGCTCTTGTCCGCTTGACCTCAGAATGTAAGAATACTAACAAAGGCAAAAGGAATCTTTCCTCACCCACATTTGCTTACTATTATTACTATTTACATTACCATAGCACTTAGGAGCCCTAGTCATGGACGAGGACTTCAATGTGTTCGGGTGCTGTACTAACTCAGAACAAAATGGCGGTCCCTGCCCCAATGACCTTACAGACCAAGTATATGACAAGAGATACCAGATGGATACAGACAGACATGGAAGTACCAGGAAAAGTTGAGATATAATTTATCAGCATGACATGTAGTGGTCCCTGGTAACAAACCTAACCATTGTCAAATTTATTTTGTTTTTTTGGTTTTTTGGTCAAGTTTTCATGGCAAAGGAGAGTTTTGAGGTGGGTAATGAGAAAGCTTTGCAGATGCTTATGGGAAGGAACTCCCAAGTGTGTAGGGCAGCATGGGTGAAAGCACAGCAGTGCTTGTTTGAAAATTTAACACGTGAACAGCACAGGCTGGCATCATGATCTGATTGAAAGTGAGCATCGACAGCTCGATAGCAAGTGAGAGATGATAGGTAGTGTGTATATTGATAGTGGAAGGCCTTGAAAGTGAATTAAAACAGTTTGTTTGAGGAGATGGAGAAGAGAGCTAATGACGGGATTCAAAGAGGGGTGACCAGGTCAAAGCGAACAGTCTAGGAAAATGATCTTTGCAGCAGCATTCTGAATGGATATGAGTGGGGAAAGCTTGCATTTGTCAAGGCGAGAGACGAGATGAGAGCTTTGACTAGTGTTTTAGTTGCTTGGCTGGATAAGAGAGGCCATATTTGAGAGAAGTTGTGCAGAAAGAATCAGCAGTATTTAGATATAGATTGGATGGGAGCACCTAAAGAGAGATGGTGCCCAGATTACAGGCTTGGGTGACAAGCAGACATTCTTTCATTTTTATGCCTTTAATAAAAATTCTTATGGGTTTCTTAATTTCCTGTACAAATTAACACAGTTTAGATAATCTAGAATACTGTATTTTGAAACAGCAATTATTTTGCCTTTGGAACGCACCTTGCTGCAATAAAATGTCAGGGAGCTATTTTCAAAAATGCTTTCTGGCGCAGTGTGCCCATTCCTTCTTTTTACATGGATTTTGTCTGCTTCTGCAGTGGGGATAGCTGTAGTTTTGAAACTTAGATAAGCGTGTCACACTATCAGTTGATATATTCTTTCCTGTCCTGAACTATCTAATATTGTGCACTGCTAATGCATCTCCCACATTCTCAGTGAACGGAGAAAGCTAATGTTTAGTAATTGGAAATTTTTTAGGAAGGAAGTGCTGTATAAATGATGCTAATAATTAGATGCAATTATTGGGTCTGCATTAATACCTCGTCAGTAGTATTTGTCCAGGTTAAGTTGTAACAGGATATTAATTTTTCTCTTTAATAATTAAAAGTAGTTACTTACGTTCAACATTTTTTTTTTCTTTTTTACAGCTTTAGTTCCTGATAGGGATGTGAGGGTCAGTGTAAAAGCGTTGGCAGTAAGCTGTGTTGGAGCAGCTGTTGCCCTTCATCCTGAATCTTTCTTCAGCAAACTGTATAAGACACCTCTTGAAACCATGGGAGAAGAGTATGGTATGTTGAGGTTACATTATAGTTCCCTACTCTTTTTTGCGAAACATTTTAACTTGTTGACTTTTTAATACATAATTGAATCCTTGTCTAAACCAGTTCAGTTCTTTAGGGTACACAGAGCTCACTCAGTACACGTATACTAGCCACGTCACATCAGTTTAAGTATTACTCTGTGCACACTACTACTGTCTTAGACTATTTCAGTTACAATGCCCACATTTCCCAACTTAACTATGAGAAGCGATGAACACCGAGAATTTGCAGCAGTACCAGTGCACTATGGGACAGTAGCAGGAGAACTAATTAAATCATCTCTGCTTGTCCTCAGTTATGCTGGCACTAAACCAATTAGTTTAATCAGATTTGAATATGCTAACGGTAATCTGTTCTAAATGATTAGCCCCTTTCTCAACTGTTTGTAAACCATTTGGTGCGTCTGTGTGGATGCAGTGTATTCTACAAATGTTCTAGGGTTTTTAACAGGTTTTAATTTTTCTAAGTGTCGACCAAGCCTTAGTGTTTAGATCTCACCATTACTATACCCAGTGCAAAATTATATGTCTAGGAACAAAGAATATAGATCAGACTTAGGATGGGAGACTATCCTGCAAAAATAGTGACTCTGTAAAGAAGTTAGGGGACTTAGTTGATAATCAGTTTAAAATGAGCTCCCAGTAAGATGCAGTGGCTAAGAGGGCTGATGCTATCCTTTGATGTATAAATGTAAATATCAAATGGTATTACCTCTGTATGTGGCGTTAATGAGACCATTACTTAAAATGCTATCTACAATTTAAGAAAGGATGCTGAAAAATTAGAAAGGGATCAGAAAAGACCTACAAGAAATATGAGAGATCTGGAAAATGTGCCTTATAGTGAAAGACTTTAAGCTCAGTCTATTTAGTTTATCAAAGAGGAGTTTAAGGGTTAGGTGACTTGATCATAATCTAAGTACCTACATGGGGAAAAGAAAAGGAGTACTTGTGGCACCTTAGAGACTAACCAATTTATTTGAGCATGAGCTTTCGTGAGCTACAAAAGCTCATGCTCAAATAAATTGGTTAGTCTCTAAGGTGCCACAAGTACTCCTTTTCTTTTTGCAAATACAGACTAACACGGCTGTTACTCTGATACATGGGGAAAAGATTTCTGATGATGATTTTGGACTCTTTAATCTGGGAGACAAAAGAATAACCAGATCCAATGGCTGAAAGTTGAGACTACACAAATTCAGACAGAATATAGGATACAGATTTTTAAGGGTATAATTAATCAGTGGAATGACTTACTTAGGGACGTCGTGGATTCTGCTCCACTTCAAGTTTTAAACCATGGTAGGATGTCTTTCTAAAAAAGATACTCTAGCCAGCCAGAAGTCAGGGGTTTGATGCAGGAGTTGGGTGAAATTCTATGGCCGGTGTTATGCAGAAGGTCAGACTAGGTGATCATAATTGTGGTATTTCTATTTTTTGAAAAGTTAGTTTCTGCAGCCTACTGTCTCTCACTGTCTGGGTATCTGGGCTGCGCTCCTCTATCTGTAGCTCATGGAGGATGGTCACTGTTCTGGTGCTGTGTGGTCTGGTCACCAGATTGTCTGTCTCTGCAGCAGCAGTGGGTTTTTTTTGCTGCCTCCCTTATTCCTTCTATTTTAACTTTACTGCCCAGTTTTTTGGGCAGTGGAGAGCTGTTCCTCCTCCTTAGTCTTTGTCGTCCTCCTCCTTCTTGGGTTGGTTAACCCCCTGTGGGCTCAATTCTCCCTGAGCCTCTACTGCAGCTTCTCTGTGAAGGCTCCTCTGTCCCTTAAAGGCATGGAAGCGCAGCGGCAAAAGCACTAGAGCAAATCCAGGCAGTGCTCTATATGTGAGGTAGCCTTCCCAGGCTCAGCAGATGAAGAGTTGTGCTGAGCCTGCACCCAGCCGTCCACCCCTAACTCCGTTAGGTCTTGGGGCAATGAGTCAGATAGGTCCCTACCCACTGAGGCAGCTGTAACTCCAGCTGGGGAAAAATGGATCAGAAACCCCAGTGCAGAGCAGGGAGAGGTTCCAAAAGCAAGGATCCTGACCACTTGATTCCGGGTAAGTCCGAGGGGACCTCAGCAAAAGAAAGAAGGGAAGTCCATGGGGCCATAAATCCCCCCACTTTCCAAGTGGGTCCTGAGCACCCTGAGGAAAGAAACCGGGCTTCTAATCAGCCCCTTCCAACCAGAAAGACTGTGACAATGAGTTACATCCCTCCACTGTCCCAGGGGGAATGGGACCCTGTGGCTGAGGATTCTGAGACAGACTGCTGAAGAGGGTTCCAGGCCCTAGGGAAGGTAAGCTGCAAAAGGTCTCACCAAAGCTACATCAGAACTTCTATGCTCTCAAAATGTGTGCAAAAAGGTTAAACAAAAAAAATGTGAAAAGCTAAAATGGGAAAGACAGAGCACAAAAAATACAGGAGAGGGGAGTCTTCCTTTTGCCCACCAGCCCTCCTCCACTGAGGAAAGTGAGCTGTCTGGCTATGAAACCTGAGTAGGCTCCAGTGAGTAAGCCTCAGAGAAAATTTCTCTGTTTCAAAATCCTCCCCTGATGCTGCAGTACCCCTTTGCTCCTCCTTTGAGGAAGTGATTAGGGATGAATGGAACAAGCCTAATAAGGGCCAGCATGTTAACGAGAGCAACCTTAGGACTATATAACATTCAGGAACCAAAGGGCTGTATTGCTGAGGTCGATGTTGCTGTTATGTCCCTCTCCAGGGATAAGGTTATTCCCTCAGAAGGTGAGTTCTTCCCTGAAGAGCCCACAGATAGAAAACTGGAGGCTGCTCTCAAAAAGGGCTTTGAACCCTCTTTGGTTTCTTTAATTTATGGTATTAGCAATAATCTTACCAAACATCTTAATTTGCTCACTAAAGGGCTTTATAACTTAACTTTAAATCACAATGACCTGAAACTTACGGATATGATTTTTAAAAAAAAAATCCAGGTTGGTGCTTTTTAGGTATCTTTGTAGTTGGGTAGTGGGTTTCTAAATAGCAGCTTTACTTAAATTTGAAGAACTGCTGAATTTGCACAGCACTTGGTCTTGAACATTTTTACTATTTTTTGTTTAACACTTACTGTAATAGGATTTAAAGGCCTTAATCAACTTCCCTCTGTCAGGAGCCATTAAAAGCTTACTTTGCCATAGTTAGGAAGGACCTCTGCAATTATTGTGAAGACCCTGTGATGCAAACTGATTACCCAGAGTACCCAATTTATGGTATAAAATTACTCAAGAGTTCCCATCACATCCTGTCTGTGATAACATCATGTTATGATGGCAAAACTGTCTTGATGCAAGTCTGTGGGTAACCGGATTACGACCCAGAAACTAGATCAAAACATGTAATTGGATGTTGCAGAACTATTTTCTGCCAATATGGTGTATTTGCTAGTCTCCTGTTTTAAAAATAAATAAATAAAAATAATCAGAAAACGTTAAGTTTGACATAAGTCCAGGAAGAGCAGACAAGGAAAACCAAGTGGAAATGTTGCAGCACACACTATACAGGTTTCAGAGTAGCCCCTGTGTTAGTCTGTATCTGCAAAAAGAAAAGGAGTACTTGTGGCACCTTAGAGACTAACCAATTTGAGCATAAGCTTTCGTGAGCTACGGCTCACTTCATCGGATGCATTCAGTGGAAAATACACTGGGGAGATTTATATACATAGGAACATGAAACAATGGGTGTTACCGTACACACTGTAATGAGAGTGATCACTGAAGGTGAGCTATTACCAGCAGGAGAGCAGGGGGTGGGGGGACGACGAGGGTGCGGAACCTTTTGTAGAGATAATCAAGGTGGGCCATTTCCAGCAGTTGACAAGAATGTCTGAGGAACAGTGGAGGGTGGGGGGTATCTCATTCTCTTACATGGCATTTTTCAGTAAAACCTTTGGAGGCCATCTTTCAGGAATGCTTTAACTAGAACTAGGCATGAAGCATTTATTTCCCTGCAAAAAAATTTTCCATGAAAATATTAATTTTTTTCATTTTAATTAAAAAAAAATTCTACGGAATTTCAGATGTTAATCAAAAACAAAAGTTATCAGTTTTCAGGAAAAAAAAATGAAATTTTCAAACAATGGAAATCCAAATAACTTTTGGTTTTTGAAGTTTTCATTTTTGATGAAAAACCTGAATTTTTCTGTCAGAAATGGATGTTTCCAATGAAAAGTGTTGTTTTGATGGGAAAAGTCATTTTTCACTGAAAAACTGTTTTGAATGAAAAATTTCTCCCAGCTCTGGCTTTAACCACTTAACTCTTGAAGATTCTTGTTGCTATTGGCTTCTACTTGGAATCTTGGTGTGTGTGTGCGTGTCTGACTTTTGGTGCTGGGTTGTTACAGTAGAATCAGATAGTAATTACAGTATTTGTTAAACCTCGTTTGTACTTGCAGGCCTAGTATGGAACAAATTTTTGCATTTGGTTAGAAAGTTTACGTGAAATTGAAAGATAAATGGGGGAAGAAATTAATAATTTAGTAAACTGGTGTATCTCATATCTATATTAAAAAAACAAAATTCTTCACTATGAAGATTTAAAAGCAGTCCTTTGAAGGTTTGGTGGTGGTAATGCTTACAGCCATGCTAGAATATTATATGATTGGAGGTGGAGAAGAGCAAGGACTCTTCTACTAGATCCTGCAAGGACAAAATTTTCATAGATTTTAAAAGTCTGAGGGGCCCATTCTGACCATTTAGTCTGACCTCCTGCATAATGCAGAGCATAGAACTTCACCAAGTAATTCTTGTATCAGATCCAATAACTTCTAGTTGAACTAGATTTTTATATATTTTATATACATAATTTTTTCTTTAAATCAAGATTGGGTGGGTTTTTTTTTTAAGATTTCTAGTCATGGAATAAATTGTTCGAGTGGTCTTCTAACACAATACCTGTTCTATACTATGTTAGATATTAATTGGGCCACAAGTATCATTCTAAAACTGCTGCTTCATTATGAATTTAGTGCATGCTTGGATGATGCTTTCATTTTATTTGTTTTTGATGATGCTTTGTGCCTCGTTTATTATAGCTGATTTAATGCAGTCTATTTTACATTCTTTGTAAGCAATGTCAGTAGAAGGCTTGTTAAATCCTAGAACTAATATTTCTAAAATAAAGTAGTTGTTGTAACTTGTTTTCTCAGAAGAGCAGTATGTATCGGATGTTTTGAACTATATTGATCATGGAGATCCCCAGATTAGAGGAGCTACTGCCATTCTCTGTGGAACCATTGTCTACTCCATTCTCAATAAATCACGGTTTGATGTGGAAAACTGGCTAGCAAATGTCAGAAGTTCAACAGGTAACAGTTGAGTTATTTTGAGGGGGTTGTTTTGGTGCATGTAGTGAAAACATTGCCCTTATTGTTTCATTATTCTTTCTTTCAGGAAATCTCTTTTCTCTGGTAGACTGTATACCTCTCTTACAGAAAACTCTGAAAGATGAATCCTCAGTTACATGCAAACTGGCTTGTGCAGCTGTGAGGGTAAACAAAATTTCTATTGTTGTTTTTTGTTTATATTCCCATAGAGCCCTTGTCATGGACCAGGGTTCTGTTGTGCTAGGTGCTGTAAAAACACAGAATGAAAAGATGGTCCCAGCCCCAAAGAGCGTACAGTCAAAGTATGAGAGGAGAAAGCACATGGATACAGACTGATGGAAGAATACAAGGAAATAATTTTGCTTAGCATGATAGGCAGTAGTTATTAATGCACCCAGTGGCCTAATCATTCTCCAATTTTTTGTAAGCATCATAGTCAAGGAGAATTCAGAGGATAATGAGAGAGCTTTGTAGGGGTTCACTGGGAGCTGCTCCCAAGCATGAGGGACAGCATAAGAGAAAATTTTTTAGTAAGTGGGCAGTGGAGGCTGACATGATTAGTTGGTTGATAATAGGTGGGAGTTAACATTTGGTAGTGAAAGAAAGATTGTGGAGAGTCTTGGAAGTCAAGACAAGCAACTTATGTTGATGCACTAAAAAGGGGGAAACCATCTTAAGGATTAAAAGAGAGGGGTGATATGGTTAAAGTGGCAAGTCAGAAGAATGATCTTTGCAGCAGCATTCTGAATGAATATAAGTGGCACAAGATTGCATTTGTCAGGGCCAGTGAAAGGGCATTGCAGTAAGCGAGATGATGAGAGCAGAGTTTTAGCTGTGTGGATGGATAGGACAGGTCCTAGCTTAGAGATGCTATGCAGAAGATTCTGCAAGATTTATACATACCCTGGATGTGGGGACCGAGAGAGAGAGAGAGGTCAGAGTCAAAGATAATCCCACGTTTGTGGGGAAAGATTAAGAGCTCTATTTAAACCATGTTGAGCTTGAGTTGATGGCTAGACACCAATGAAGAAAAATCAGACAAGCAGAAATTTTAGGTTAGACAAACGGCGACAGGTCTGGAGTAGAGGTAATTTCTAAGTCGTCAGCATAGAGATGGTAGTTGAATATGTGTTTGTGGGTCTGATTACCTAGCAATAAGGTGTGGAGGGAGAAGAGGAAGAGAACAAAGACTTTTTGGAACCTCACAGAAAGTTGTAGAGCAGCAATGATACACTGATGGAACGATTAGAGAGGTAGGAGAATCCGGAGAGGGCAGAATCACAGAAGCCAAGGGAGGACAAGATTTCAAGAATAGGAGTATGGTTCCCTGTGTTGAAGGTGGCTGACAGATCAAGGAAAATGAGGTTGGATTACTGATTTGGAGCTTTGGCTAAGCAGAGGTCACTAGACTTTGGCGAGAGCACTTTAATTGGAGCACAAGAAGTCACATTAGAGAGTGTCTAGGATGGAATTGGAGGAGAGGAACTCCGGTCAATGAAATGTAGTAGTTTTTCAAGAAAAAGCAGAAAGCATATAGGGAGTGGAAGAAGGGAGGGATCAGTAAGGAAAGCTACCTTATTGAGGTCAGAATATGTAGGGATAAAGTGAGACAGGCTAAAAGTCAAGTAGAGTTGGACCTTGCAAAGGGAATTAAAACCAATAGTAAAAGGTTCTATAGTCATATAAATAGGAAGAAAACAAAGAAAGAAGAAGTGGGACCGCTAAAAACTGAGGATGGAGTGGAGGTCAAGGATAATCTAGGCATGGCCCAATATCTAAACAAATACTTTGCCTCAGTCTTTAATAAGACTAAAGAGGATCTTAGGGATAATGGTAGCATGATAAATGGGAATGAGGATATGGAGGTAGACATCACCATATCTGAGGTAGAAGCGAAACTAAAACAGCTTAATGGGACTAAATCGGGGGGCCCAGATAATCTTCATCCAAGAATATTAAAAGAATTGGCACAAGAAATTGCAAGCCCATTAGCAAGAATTTTTAATGAATCTGTAAACTCAGGGGTTGTACCGTATGATTGGAGAATTGCTAACATAGTTCCTATTTTTAAGAAAGGGAAAAAAAGTGATCCAAGTAATTATAGGCCTGTTAGTTTGACATCTGTAGTATGCAAGGTCTTGGAAAAAATTTTGAAGGAGAAGGTAGTTAAGGACATTGAAGTCAATGGTAAATGGGACAAAATACAACATGGTTTTACAAAAGGTAGATCATGCCAAACCAACCTGATCTCCTTCTTTGAGAGAGTAACAGATTTTTTAGATAAAGGAAACGCAGTGGATCTAATTTACTTAGATTTTAGTAAGGCGTTTGATACTGTGCCACATGGGGAATTATTAGTTAAATTGGATAAGATGGGCATCAATAGGAAAATTGAAAGGTGGATAGGGAATTGGTTAAAGGGGAGACTACAACGGGTCCTACTGAAAGGTGAACTGTCAAGTTGGAGGGAGGTTACCAGTGGAGTTCCTCAAGGATCAGTTTTGGGACCAATCTTATTTAATCTTTTTATTACTGACCTGGGCACAAAAAGTGGGAATGTGCTAATAAAGTTTGCAGATGATACAAAGCTGGGAGGTATTGCTAATTTAGAGAAGGACAGGGATACCCTACAGGAGGATCTGGATGACCTTGTAAACTGGAGTAATAGGAATAGGATGAAATTTAATAGTGAGAAGTGTAAGGTCATGCATTTAGGGATTAATAACAAGAATTTTAGTTATAAGCTAGGGACGCATCAACTAGAAGTAACGGAGGAGGAAAAGGACCTTGGAGTATTGGTTGATCATAGGATGACTATGAGCTGCCAATGTGATATGGCTGTGAAAAAAGCTAATGTCACCTTGGGATGCATCAGGAGAGGTATTTCCAGTAGGGATAAGGAGGTTTTAGTACCATTATATAAGGCACTGGTGAGACCTCACCTGGAATACTGTGTGCAGTTCTGGTCTCCCATGTTTAAGAAGGATGAATTCAAACTGGAACAGGTACAGAGAAGGGCTACTAGGATGATCCGAGGAATGGAAAACTTGTCTTATGAAAGGAGACTCAGGGAGCTTGGCTTGTTTAGCCTAACTAAAAGAAGGTTGAGGGGAGATATGATTGCTCTCTATAAATATATTAGAGGGATAAATACCAGAGAGGGAGAGGAATTATTTAAACTCAGTACCAATGTGGACACAAGAACAAATGGATATAAACTGGCCACTAGGAAATTTAGATTAGAAATTAGACGAAGGTTTCTAACCATCAGAGGAGTGAAGTTTTGGAATAGCCTTCCGAGGGAAGTAGTGGGGGCAAAAGATCTATCTTGCTTTAAGATTAAACTCGATAAGTTTATGGAGGAGATGGTATGATGGGATAACATGGTTTTGGTAATTAAATATTCATGGTAAATAGGCCCAATGGCCTGTGATGGGTTTTTAGATGGGGTAAGATCCAAGTTACCCGGGAAAGAATTTTCTGTAGTATCTGGCTGATGAATCTTGCCCATATGCTCAGGGTTTAGCTGATCGCCATATTTGGGGTCGGGAAGGAATTTTCCTCCAGGGCAGATTGGAAGGCCCTGGAGGTTTTTTCGCCTTCCTCTGTAGCATGGGGCACGGGTCACTTGCTGGAGGATTCTCTGCTCCTTGAGGTCTTCAAACTACAATTTGAGGACTTCAATAGCACAGATATAGATGTGAGGTCTTTTTTAGGAGTGGTGGGTGAAATTCTGTGGCCTGCATTGTGCAGGAGGTCAGACTAGATGATCATTATGGTCCCTTCTGGCCTAAATATCTATGAATCTATGAATCTATGAAATGTGTGAAAACGTTCACATTTTATGGAAGCTGGGCTCTTTACCCGGTAATCCATGATGTTTTTGTGTGTATATGTATACAGTGATTGCACTTAAAACTCATTCTATTTTTTAGAGATTTACTGGTTCCAGTGGCATTCCCCATTTTAAATTTAGGCAATGTTGCTCAAAGTGTGGTGTAGAGTCTTTTAAAACAGGAAAATTTAGGGAAGTGCAGGGATGGCCGGATGTGACTTTGGACACTTAAATTTGGATAGTCCTCAATTAAGCATATTCTGCTATTATAACACTTAGTCCCCTTCAGCATAAGTAATTCAAAGCACTTTACAGCTATTCATTCTCAGAGAGAAGTATATTACAGTACTTTTGTAGGCAGGTAAAGTGAGGCATAGAGGTAGAAGAATCCAGAAAGTTTACATGACTTGCCCAAGAACACCTAGTGAGTCAGCGCATAACTGGGGATAAAACAAAGGAGGTATGACTCAGTCTTTTGCTTTGACATTTAAATTTACTATTACTCCTGCGCGTGCGCCCCCCCCCCCCCCCCCGTAGGAATCACTTCACTAGGGAAGAGGTTTTTGAGTAGTTAGAGGTAACCCTCAAGCCCTATAGACCGTGGCCCCTCAGGTCCTGTCTTGCTGAGTCTTGAGGTCTCTTGCCAGAGTTTGGAGCCTTCAGACTTTCCTAGCAGCTGACTAAGCTCCGTGCCGAGCCCCTGTAGAGGCTTTTATTTTATTTTAATACCTCTGCCACACTGACTCTTATTTGTCTCTTTTGAGAGCTAAACGTTCCCAGCCTTTTCACTCTCTTCGTATCTAAGTTTGTTCATTCTTTGAACCATTTTCATCATACATCTCTGGATCCCTTCTATTATTCCCATGTTTTTTGAGATAGGGTACATTTAGGCCACAAAAACAGATTTTTCAAGTTTCATGAAACCTACAATAATATGAGTGTTTTAATTAAAATGTAAAAATAATTCTTAATTCTAGTTTGCTTAACAGTTTCCTTAAAGTGTTAGCAATAGGTTGGTTTTAGGTTTTTATATGTGTAAGCACAAAGTTTGTGCAAGAAGAGACTCTCTCTAAATCCATAAAAGGTAGCATAATAATTAAAAACTTGTTTCTACCTTTTTAGCATTGCATCATGAGCTTGTGCAGTAGCAGTTATAGTGAACTAGGTTTACAGTTAATCATCGACCTCCTTACTCTGAAGAATAGTTCTTATTGGCTAGTAAGGACAGAGCTTCTGGAAACTCTTGCTGAGATAGATTTCCGGTAAGTGTGCATATTTCAATAAGTTGTATTGTGGCTGTGCATACAGTACCTTGTATGGGAGACCTAGCTTGTGAATTGAAGTTTCAATAGCTTGAAAAATTAATGAACCTCTTATAAAACAAATCCTCAAGACTGACAAGAAAGCTGCCATTAACATCAGAGATTACAGGATTGGGCACATTAGCAACTTCTCTGTGTTCTTTTAATCGCTTGAATCTGTCTTCTAAGAAACTGTGAACAGATAAATATGACCCAGTGTTCAAAATAACTGGGGATTCCTGTGAAATCTATTGAAGTCCCAGATATGCAGCACAATTTTTAAGCTCCTTCTGTTAGTCTTTTGTCAACTATTTCCCACTTTTCACTTATTCCAAAACACTGTTTGGGTAAATAATACTGCACTTATGCCTTTGCTTTTACATCCCCTTACTCTCCAAAGGCTTTTTGAGATAGAAGTCTTATTTTAAAAAATAAATTAATAAAAAATTGCCCTAGTTCAGCATGCTGGAAACTTTAGAATGTTGTTTCAATATATTGTTTCTTGAAACAGATTAACTAAAATGTGCTAATTCTGACTTTTTTGCCTAAATTAATAAAAGTAAATTTTAATTCTTTTAAAAATTAATTACACTGTGTAATACTTAAGAAAAATTCTTGTGACTTTAATGATGGTTAGTAACGTGGTCTGCCTTTGTCCGTTTTACCTATTAAGATTAGTCAGCTTTTTGGAAGGAAAAGCAGACAACTTGCACAGAGGTGTTCATCATTATACTGGGGTAAGAAGCATTGTTCCCTCTAATTTTTCCACCCATATGCGGAATGAATTTTGTTATGTGCGCCGATATGGAGGTGATGTGTGACACACCACCTCCATATTGGTGCACATAACAAAATTCATGTGGTGGGGGTGGGGCCGAAGCCGAAGGGTTCGGGGTGTAGGAAGGGGGCTCAGGGCTGGGGTGGGAGTGCAGGGATGTGAGGGCTCTGGCTGGGGGTGTGCGCTCTTGGTTGGGGCCAGGGATGAGGGGCTCAGGGCTGGGGCAGAGGGTTGGAGTGCGGGCTCTGGCATGGGGCTGGGGCAGAGGGTTGGGTGCAGTGGATGAGGGCTTTGCCTGGGGATGCGGGCTCTGGGGTGGGGCTGGGGATGAGGCATTTGGGGTGCAGGAGGGTGCTCCAGGGCTGTGACAGGGGGAGAGGATTCCCCCCAGCTGTCTCTCCCTGCAGCAGCACTTGGGCTTAGTGGGAGAGGCGTCACTCCCTTCCGCGGCAGCTCCGGGGCTGGGGCTGCAGGATAGGCACCCCTCCTCTGGCCGTGGCAGAATTGGGACCAGTGTAGGGGGGCTATGGTACATCTGGGCTGCCTCAGCCGCTGCTGAGTTCAGGCCGGGGTAGGGGTGTCCCTCCCCTATCTGCAGCAGGTCCCCTGGCAGGTTTCCTGAGCACCTGCGCAGTGCTAAATAGGCTGCTGCGTGCCCATGTGGCAGCGCACCTTACAGGGAATTTAGGTAAGAAGCCTATCTTTTGTATATTATATCAAAGCATTATGGTTGGGGGCTAAGGCACCGTTCCAGTAAAACACTTCGTTGTATGATTAATTTTAATCAGGTGCTTAAGACCTGCTGAAGCCAATGGTTCATGCATGTGCTTTGCTGAATCATGGCCTAATTCTTAGTACTGGGCGTAAAGTTCCTTTTCTACTGAAATACAGAGCTTTATAGTATGATTTTAAAAAGTTATAATCAGATTATTTCCCTAGGTAAATAAACAGTTTGTTCAGCAATGTAGAAGTAAAACTGTTATATTGGTAACTTCTATCTACAAAGGAAACATACTTTTACATGTTGGCTCTACAAAATACATCTTTAATAATCTGTAAAGTTCGTCAGAGCAATTAAAATGTGCTATGATGTTTCATCTTTGCTTATACTAATCTATTCCCATAGCTATTAAAACTTCAGGACAGAGTGCTCAACAGTGTTGTAATTTACCTTCTTGGTGATGAAGACCCCAGAGTGAGACACATAGCTGCAGCTTCTTTGATGAGGTATAAGCTAAAACAAAGGTTTTTAATAATATGCTAGCCTAATACACCATGTACCTGCAACTAAATAATACTTACCACTTACTTAACACTATACATTTTAATTGTTTTTTATATATATATATCTATATACATATATATATATATATATATATATAAAAATATACAGATCTATCTATCTATCTATACACACACACATACACTATTTGTGATGGAAGGAATACATTATTTCTGAACCACTTTTTGTTTTGAATTATCACACAGTACTTTCCATTTTTTAAAGCATTGCATAAACATTTAATCGTCACAATACTCCTGAGGTGTTAATTCTGCCCCAAAAAATTCTGCACACAGTATTTTAAAATTCTGCATATTTTATTTATCATAATAACACTCTATAATCACACTAGTTTCAATTATTTTGGTAATTTATTTCAAAATACCTTACAGTATCTACGTCTGTATTGTTACAGACACAAAAAACTCCCCCAGGAGCAGAGAGTTAAAGAAACCCCTATGACAACCCCGTTCCTGTCTCTGTCCCATTGCCTTCAGAGCCCAGCTGTGGGGCCAGACTCCCACCCCCCCCTCCTCCCAAGCCCAATTGCGGATTACCCCCACAGCCCAGACACTTGCACTCCTTCCTCCCTCAGAGCCCAGCTGTGGGGTGCTCCCCAGCTGAGACACTTGCACCTCCTCCCCGCCAGAGCCTAGCTGTGGCCCTCTTCCCCCTCCCCCCCCCCCGCCGTTGTTCTGTTGTGCAGAACATTAATTCTGCACAAATTCTGCATTACGCAGTGGTACAGAATTCCCCCAGGCATAAGGTATATTATCTCCACTGTATGGATGAGGAAACTGTGACTCCAGTAAGTTGTGATTTATTTAATGACATGGAAGGAGTTGGTGGTTAAGCTTGGACTAAAGTTCAGGTACTGTACTGATTTTTCAGTCTTGTGAAAGGAATTATAGCAGCCAATCCTGTAGCAGATCATCTATGGTTACCATATTCAAGAATGGCATTTGGAAATGAAGGAGTTACATGATTAATCCTTGGGGTGCCACTCTTCAGTATCTCCCATGTCCATGTCTGATTCAGTGGTGTAGCACATAAGCTAGTGTCACAAAAGACTGTTTGTCTGCCTTTGTCTTTTGAATGAAGGGAAAGTTGCCAGAATAGTGGGTGACAAAGGAGAGGGCAGGGATTGGGAAAGAATTGTTGTCAGAAGTTGAAGTGGTTTATACAAGCCTGCAAAAGAGAGATCCTCAAAATCCAGGGTGAACAATCAGGAAGTATTGGTCAATGGGTTATCCTGTCACTAAATTATATTTTCTAGTGCTTTTAAATTCCATCTATGTTAACAAAAATGAATTGTAACATCCCACTATAGTTTACACAAGAAATCTGACTCAACATTCAGTTTTCAGTGCACTACGGCTTTTCTAACATGGTAAAATTAGTCAGTTGACTTGCCAGAGTGTGTGTATGTGTCACTCTGTGAATTATTTGGAGTCAGAAGCTAAAGATCTTCTTGGCATGTGTTCTCACTCTGGAAGTGAGATCAGTCTTAAAGAGGGAAAGAGGCAGGGGAAGAAAATTGTTTGTTACTCAGCACCAATCACTGCTGCAGATATTTTTAAATTACTTTGTTTCCAGAGTAAATCTGTTATATTCCTGACTGGAATGCTAGTGGCCACAATAGAGGACAGTGAGGGTAAAGGTAAAATTGGAAAAGAAGGTGGTCTTCAAGTCTCCAGTAAAGATATAAATGATTCCTTTGAGGTAAATGTTTGAGGAGAAAGTGAGTTTGAGTTTAGAGTAACAATTGTCATTTTAAAAATCAACACAGATTTACCCACATGTCTGCCTAAATTGTACATTAGATCAGTTTTTGTGATATCTATCTTTGTAAAAAGGGATTTGCTTACTATTTTACCTGTTTTCTGCTTTATTTAAGACTTGTTCCAAAGCTGTTTTATAATTGTGACCAAGGACAGGCTGATCCAGTAGTGGCAGTGGCAAGAGACCAAAGCAGTGTCTACTTGAAACTCCTAATGCATGAGACTCAGCCTCCATCTCACTTCGCAGTGAGCACTATCACCAGGTACAGTATTTGCAGAATTGCATTTGCCTTGCTCTAGTTAAAGAAACACTGGCCACAGTTAAGTGTGTAAATTCTGTTAAGTGCTCTGTTGTTGCCACAAAGACTTAAGCATGTGCTTAATTTTATGCACTGTGAGTATCTTCATTTACTTCAGTATCTCTTTTCAGGATTGAGGTCTTAAGCTTGATTTTTTTTTTCAAGGGTGCAGACCCTTTAGAGTCAATCAGAGCTGCGAATCCTCAGCACTTTGAAAATTAAGCCTTTTATACATAAGAGCCTAAAATTAGCATCAAAATTTAGGAGATTTTATCCACTGCAGTGATGGTTTAAAAAAAATCTTCCCTTTGCTCCTAATCCATTAGAATTATTAAAAGTTAATACTAGAAATCTAATTATTTGTCAGTCATTTTTGCTGTTTGTTTACATTTTGCACTTCATTTAGCTTGAGCTGTGAAATTAGACAGGTCTATTTAGTGAACTGAACCTTTAGTTTTCATCCACAAGCACATTGCTGTTGTGCCTAGAATGCTAACGGGTTGAGAGTTCAATCCCTGAGGGGGCCATTTAGGGATCTGGGGCAAAAATTGGGGATTGGTCCTGCTTTGAGCAGGGGGTTGGACTAGATGACCTCCTGAGGTCGCTTCCAACCCTTATATTCTATGATTCTAACACCAGAAGGAAATAGTTAAGTAAATTGTTTTAATTAAAATTTAAAAATAATTCTTAATTCTACTTATATTATTGTAGGTTTCATGAAACTTGAAAAATCTGTTTTTGTGGCCTAAATGTACTGGTCACCCTATCTCAAAAAACATGGGAATAATAGAAGGGATCCAGAGATGTATGATGAAAATGGTTAGAAGAATGAACAAACTTAGAGTGAAAAGGCTGGGAATGTTTAGCTCTCAAAAGAGACAAAGAAGAGGCAGTGTGGCAAAGGTATTAAAATAAGGAATGGCATAAGATAATCTGGAGCACCCAATGTCACATCTGTCTTTCATTTAACCTTACTGCCGTTGGACACTCAATGAAAGTGAAAGGCAATAAATTTAAAACTGATAAAAGGGAATACTTTTTAACACAAAATTCAAATCTGTGAAACTCATTACTCCATGGCAGTGGCATTTTATATTAATGAAACCACCCATAAGTAAATTAGTATATGTTTTTAAAAAGGGACATAAACATCATGTTTCAAGACATAATTCAACCATCAACTGATGAGATCAGGAAGAAACTTTCTGCATTGGGAGGATGGTAATTCCATAAATGGCACAATAGGTTTTCCAAAAACTTCTCTGAAGCATCAGGCTCTGATCAGTCTCTGACAAAATACTGAATTATATGGATCACCGTTCTCATTAGGTAAGGCAGCTCCCATGAATTGCTGTCTTTTTTTGTATATGACCTGTTCATATATACCAAATCAATCCCTTTTTTCTGGTCATTCTGTCTATTAAAATAATTTGTGTTTTCAAGTGCATCTCTTTCCCTCTTACATTTAAAACCAAACCTCTTATATGTAATGGAATAATATAAAATAAGTCAAATGTATTCTAATCTGGAGGAAAAGGTTTTTCGTCCTTAAAACTATTGCATGTTGTGTTAACGTAGTAGGGTGTTTTGCTGCATTAGAGCTTTCTTCTGTTTAACCTTTAAGTGATAGTTATTTTAATTCTATGCTTATATTATTTCCTCCAATATTAAAGTTTACCAAATGCTATGAAATTAAACATTCAGTGATGAAAGATGTAATCTCATATAATGAGGTGCAAAATGTGCTTTATGAAAGAGCATTTTTTTGATTTTACATGAGTATATTAGACTGATTAAAGCATGGTAATAGTCTTAAAAGGGTCTATAAAATGAAATTTTGAGTGGTTCTTTGTGTGATTTCCCATGGCAATTCCACTGTAGATGTGTGTGTGCCTCGTGCAAAGATGTCAGATTTTTTTTTCCCACCTCAGCAGTATCTGTCAGCCTGGCTTGAGTGCCCTCTGCTGCCACAAGCGCTGTGTGCTGGTATAAGAGAGTTGTCCCCAACTTCCCCCTCCCTTCCTTCTTACTGCCAGTGATGGTTGTCAGAGCAATCTCAGACTTGTTTATTCGTTTGCATTTCTCACTCATCATAAATAGTTGTTATTTATTGTTAGTTGTTAGTTTCTCAAGTGAATTAGTGTTAGGTTTCTGTTTGTGTCCTTTTGGATCATTTCTTTTCATTCAGTACTGGGCTGACATTAGTGACAAGTGTCACATCTGCAAAGGCTTCAAACCACAGTAAGGATAGAGCAGCGAAACGCAAGCGCTTGCTTATGGAAGCAGTGCCTCAACCCTCCAGCTGAAACAGTGCGAGGGGAGAGTGCCCCAAATATTTCACCATCTGTACACAGCGCTCCATCACATGTATCTTCAGCTCCGTGGTCCTGATCCTTGGTACTGTAGAAGAGACCCAGACCTTCCTCGGGTTCAGTATCTTGTTCTTCCACATTGGTGTTGAGATGAGATAGGGGCAAGGACTCTAAGCATGTAGCAGAGAGAGCTGCGCCAGGAGCCTCGCCTATTAAGAGGGGCTTGATGCCTCTGGGCCTGTGCTAGGTCCGTGAGGCTGTTCCCTAAGAAGCATTTGAGGAGCCAACGGTCGATGCTGTTCCCATCTACGCAAGAGGCATATGCAGTGTCTCGGTGCAGGTTTCACCAGCATTGGAAACCATCCAACTGCTTCCTGCACCTACGGCTCAACCCTCACCGCATTGAGAAGCCCCCAGTACCACTATCTAGTCCTCTTCTCAAACCAGTTCTATCAAGAGGGAAGCTCCCTTTCTTCCTTTAGTATCGCCATCCCCAGGTTCAGGTTACCTCTTTTTGGTAGAGTCAGCATCAGTGTCTCCATTATGTGAAGCTTCTGACTGCTCAGACTCGGAAGTGCAACCCTCTGTATCTCAGCTGGGGCACAGTGCACTTACCTTCCTTCAAGATCGTCAGGGCCATGAATAATGCAGCAACCCAAACATTGGCCTTTCCCTAAAGAGCAATGGCCTGGATAAAGATGGGTCCTGGGTCCATACCAGTAGCCACTCTGGGCTGCATGGGGCATCCCTCTTCTAGTCAGGACCTCATTTCAACCATCTCGTCAGTTGTGGGGACTGCATCAGATGTGACAGTACCAGGAACATTGTTCTCCAATATCTGACGTTGAAATGGGTACTGGGCCCCAAGAGCATCTCTCCAGTGTCCAGTATTCTGACTGGTCCTGGCCAGCCAGCCTTCTTGGGTAGCTTCTCCACCATAGATTATGGAGTTGCCACCACTTCAGATGCTGGCTGCATCCTTGTCTTTGTCACCAGATGAAGCAGTGGGAGATTGATCTCCTCCGAAGACCACAGGACCCACTGAAACTGGTTTCAGTTTTGGCACTGAAGAATTCTCACAAGTTGGTGAACATTCTAATATTTGCCACCCTTTCTAAGATTGATCTGCAAGTCAATGAAGCAGTTGTGGAACTGGTCAAGACTCTGTGGCAGACACCCTCTTCCCTGGCTCTTACAGTGAAATGAGCTGACTGGAGGTATTTTGTTCCTTCTAAAGGGTATACACATGTTTTCTATCACCAGCTCCGTGTTCTGTTGTAGTAGGAGTTGCTAATGAGTGGGAAAGGCAGGGTTACCAAGCCTCCACAGGTAAGAGCAAAGACTAGACTCGTTTGGTCATAAACTTTATTCCTCAGGAGGCCTGCAGTTTGGGATTGCAAACCAGCAGACGCTCCTGAGTCGATAAGAATACATACTCTGGGAGAACATTGCTAAATTGAGGACAAATTACCAGAGGATTTCAAGCAAGAGTTCTCTGTGGTGGAGGAGAAGGGCTAACTAGTCGCTGAGACTGCCGTCCAGGACAGTCTGGATAGTGAAGATTCGGCAGTGCCAGGAGAAGGCGGTCATGATTACAGTCCTCTGGATTACCCACAGAAGTACAGCAGACCATACAGAACCTTCTGTTTGAAGGCCTTACCCTGTTCTCTGAGGGAAATGACAGGCTTCAAAGTCTTTAAGATTCCAGGGCAACAGTGACCACTCCAGTGACTAAAAGAGAGCATTTTCATCAACAGCAACCTTTAGGATACCATAGCGTTGGTGTCCCCAAGATCTGCCTAGGAAAAAGAGAAGGAGCTATAAAAGGCGCCCTTCTCTTTAGTGTCAGTGAGCTCATCCCATCCAGCTACCTCTTGAGGACTGTATACCAGTCTCCTCACTTCCGTCCCACCTTTTTTGTTTTCAATTTTTTTTTGTCCTGATTCCTAGGTGCCAGGACGCACACAACATCAGAGCAGAGGATCTTAAGCACAGTGGAACAGGTGTGTGCCATCCAATGTACTTCAGACTCCCCCCCCCCCCCCCCCCGGTCTCTGTTCAGGAACCACTTTCATAAGACTGCCCCTCAGCAGGAGGTCCAGTCTCTTCTCCAGACAGGGGCCAGAGAGGAAGTACTGTTGGACCTTAGGAGAAAAGGCTTCTATTCATGTTACTTCTTGACCCTCAAGACAAAAGGAGGTCTCAGGCCCATATTAGCTCTAAGGGAGTTGAACAAATTCCTGAACAAAGTAAAACTTCACATGGTTACCCTAGCATCAATTATCCCTTCCCTGGGACCAGGAGACTGGGACAAGGAGCGCCAAGATCAGCTCTGTACACTGCAGCCCAGTATGGCTGGGGTTGGTTAATTTCAGCCGAGCCTCCCTTTCTTCCAGCCTGGATTTGAGCCAATAGGTTTGTAAAAGGGAGAGCCAGAGCCGGGGAAGAACACATTTGCCTGACCTGAGCTCAGCGCTGCAGGGAGCCAAGAAAGTAGATTTAAAACCAAAAATCAGCTAGCAGGACCCCTTTCCAATCACCCAGCTTCCAGGGTTTGATTTCTGAAAACAGCTGTGTAGCTAACCCCAAGCCAACCCCGGGGAAGAAGTAAAGGGGAGCTGAAATCAAGCCAACTTCACCTTTGATCCTGTA